TATAGAGTCAGTGTCTGCACCCAGAGGCGATGCTTCTCCCAGGGTGCCCCACTACCAGAGGATGGAGAGGGGGCTGGGGCCCGGAGCCTGGAGGAGTGCCCCATGGAGAAGCAGAAGAATGGGGTTCATGCCCTGGCTCCCCGGGCACGTGTGTTGCATGACTTTGAGGAATCTTCAAAGCTCATTGTCCTCATCTCTAACATGGGCACCCCACCCTGCCCAGTGATGCCTTGTGAGGCTTGCGTGAGATGCTGGCCACAGTGCCAGACAGCCATGCTCAGCCAGAGTTTGGGGATCGGGTAAACGAACGCTGGCCCGAGTGGGTCCCTCACCACCCCTGCTCCAGGTGCCGCCATGCCGCCATCGCCAAGTACTTCGGGGATGCGCCCCCCGCCTGCACCAAAGGCTGTGACTGCTGCCAGAACCCCACGGGCGTGCGGAAGCAGTTGGATGCTTTGGAGCAGAGAAGCAGCTGGAACAAGACCTGCATTGGGCCCTCCCAGGGGAACGGCTATGACCCCGAGCTGTACGAGGGAGGCCGCAGGGGTTATGGAGGCTTTAGCAGGTAAGGGGCTATGAGGCCAGGGCTCCCCAACCCACTGGAAATAGTCTGGCATTCTCTCCCTGGGGCCAAGACCAGATCAGAAGTGACACATGCCCCCGCCCCGAGGGCCACGCTGGGGCCAGGACGTCAGTGTTGCCCCCAAGTGTCCAGGGCATCAGAGACATCACTGCTCTACCAGACGCGTGATGGGAGTACAAAGCCCAGACCCAGGACGGCTCACGCCCAGCCTGTTGCCTAGGTATGATGAAGGGTCTGGAGGCAGCGGGGACGAGAGCAGAGACGAGGCCCAGAAGCGGGAATGGAATCTCTTCTACCAGAAACAGATGCGCCTGCGCAAGGTGAAGGGGGTGGGGTTCAGGGGCTCTGGGGCTCTGGGTGGCCCCTGCTCACACCCTCTCAGCCCCTCTCTGGTGCTGGACTGGGAGCTGTGTTGCTATGGGGCAGGATGGCTCACAGGACTTCATGTCATCTTCCAGGGCAAAGATCCCAAGACAGAGGAATTCATACCCCCAGGTCAGTACAGAAATGTACCCTGGGCTGGTCCCAGGGTGTGGGTGGAGGATGCCTCTTTGGGGGATCGGGGATGCCAGAGAGCAGGAAGTAGGGTGGCAGGACTCGCCTCTCCTCCACAGATGAGGACTGTCCCCTGAGAGAGGCTGCCAGTAGGAAGATCCCCAGGCTCACTGTGAAGGTAAGAGGTGGACAGCTCCCCACACCTGCCCCCAGGCTCTCCCCCAACCTGGGTCCTGTGTGACCCCCTTCTCGCCCCGATGCAGGCCCGTGAGCACTGCCTGGGGCTCCTGGAGGAGGCGCTGAGCAGTAACCGCCAGGCCGCAGGTTCCGCTGATGGGTGAGTGTCGTCAGCCCCCAGCTTGTTTGGGCATGCGTGTGTGCTCTGTCCCTCAGTCGCATCCGACTTTCTGCAGCCCCGTGGACTGTAGCCTGCCAGGCTCCTCTGTCCATGGGATTCTCCAGGCAAGAATACTGGAGTGGGTTGCCATTTCCTCCTCCAGGGGATCTTCCCGACCCAGGGACTGAACCCACATCTGCTGGATCTCCTACATCGGCAGGCGGGTTCTTTACCACTGAGCCACCTAGGAAGCCCAGTTTATTTGGGCACCTCTCCCCAAATTGTGACTCATCTTCTTCCCAAGGGGGTGTGGGTCTTCACACAGCCCCACTGGGGGGAAGGCTTGGCCATGAAAGGCTGCCAGGAACTGCCAAGGGACAGTAAACCACAGCGCCCACAGTCCAGGCTGGAATCCCTCTGCCCAAGGCCATTCCCACCGGGCCCTGAAGCCATCTCCAGGGTCCCCTGGGGGAATCTCACAGGGCTGCCCTCAGGCCTGACACCTTAATCTCATTGCTGCCCTCAGACTTGACCTCCAGGCCAAGGCAGTGGAGCTGGAACATGAGACGTTCCGAAATGCCAAGGTGGCCAACCTGTACAAGGCCGGCGTGCTGAAGAAGGTAGGCGTGCTGAAGAAGGGGTGGGTGGGGCAGCTCCCCACCCAGGGGGCCACATATTCAGGGAGAAGCCCGACTTCCGTCCTTCCCTGGCTGCAAGGATTTCTAGCTAGCCCTGTGGGGGCTAGGACTTGCCTGGTGTCCAGTTGCCTGCAAGCATGGGCCACGGAACCCACTCATGGAAAGCCTAGAGCTAGCACGTGCCAGCCAGGGCATTCCCCCCTCCCTCCCTGCCCCAGGTGGCTGAGATCCACAGAGCCTCGAAGGATGGGCAACTCTACGATGCAGGAGGTGGCACCAGCAGCTGCAGCGCCCAGGCCGAGCCCCCGGAGCCCACCGAGCGCGACATCCTGCCCGCTTCCCAGGTGTACCCGGTGAGCGGCGTCCTCGAGTCTGCCAAATCGACGGCGCCCCGGCCCCTCGCCCCCTCGCCCTGAGTAATGGCACAGTCCTTGCTCCTCCTGGCAACACAGCCCTGACCCTTGCTCTCCCCTGCTCTGGAGCCCCCACAGCACCTCTCTCACCAGCCCGACCCCCAAGCCTCGGCCTGCCCAGTCTTGCCTGCCCAGGCCCTCACGGCCACACCTGGACCCGCCAGCGAGCGCTGGAGGGCCTGTGGTCAGCAGCGTCTCTCCTCCTCGCAGCTCAAGCCCAAGCGGGTGGGAGCTGGTTTCCCCAAAGGCTCCTGCCTGTTCCAGACGGCCACCGAGCTGATGGAGAAGACATGGGTCCCGGAGCAAGAGCCCCGGCCTGAGCAGGGTGGCGAGCAGGGGGCCTCCAGCCGGCCCTGTGACCACCAGGGTGCGGAGTGTGCTGAGCCCCTCCCTGGGCCCCGAGCAGAGGCCCCCGGGAGCGGTGCTGTTTGTCTGGGGCCCTCCCCTGAGGAGGAGAGAGGCCCCGCCCGGGGCAGCCCCACCGCCAAGGCCCGGGTCAATAAGAGGCAGCAGCTCCTGGCCGCTGCGGCCCTCAAGGATTCTCAGAACATTGCCCGCTTCTTCTGCCGAAAGACCAAGAGCCCGCCCCTGCTCACTGCAGCCCCAGGGGCAGATAGCACCAGCGCCTCCCATGTTGGGACGGGGGGACCCCCGACGCTCCTGGAGAAGGGCTCAGGGCAGGAGGATGGAGCCGTGGGGCGTTTGGCTGCACCCCCCGAGACCACAGCGTGTGCTGAGGAGGGCCCGAGGTGAGCGCGTCCCCTTGGCCCCCTGGGTCTCTGCAGCGTGGCCAGTTCCTGCCATGGGCTTTACTGGGCTGCCCAGGCTGAGGGGCAGAGGCGACTGGACCTGACGCCTGCTCCCCCTCTGCCCAGTGCCTGCCTGCTCAGAGACCAGAGGCCCCCCGAAGGCCAGCCCAGCCCCACAGAGGGGGCACAGAGAGGCAAGCGGCCCAGACCTCAGCAGGTACCAAGAGGCACAAGGCTGCCATGCTGGAGCTTGCTTGGGGAGGGGCCTGAGACAGTCGTCTCCGCTGTCCACATCCCAGGGCAGACGGGCCGGGCTAGACGGAGCCAGCGGGCGCGGAGGCCCAGTCTGCCAGAAGGAGGGAGGGGCCCAGAACAGGGGACTCCAGAGTGACCCTCCGCTGTGGCCCTGCCCAGGAGAACCCGGGCAGCCAGGCTCAGAAGAGGCCTCGCCCCTCAGCCAAGGCCTCCATCCTAGCTGAGGTGAAGGGCAGCGTCTCAGCCAGTGACCAGAGCCCCTCGAGCCCCCGGGGCTCCTGCCAGCGCTCGGCGCCCAGCGTCTCCCTGAAGGAGGCTGCAAGCGTGGTGGTCAGGTGCCTGACCCCCTTCTACAAGGAGGGAAAGTTTGCATCCAAGGTAGGGTAGGCGGTGGGGCCTGTTTTCCCCTGAGCCGGGGGCACTGGGGTGCGGACGGGGTGGGGGAAGTGTGAGCCCAGGACAAGACAAGGTGGAAGCTAGCCAGCCCAGAGGCCTGCGGCCCCCTCCAGGGCCTCCCTTGCTCTGGGCCGTGGCGTGGGTGGCTTGGGGCAGGCCTGTGCTCCTGGCCCCTCCACACCCTCTCTCTCCAGGAACTGTTTAAAGCCTTCGCCCGCCACCTCTCACACTCGCTGACCCAGAACCCCTGTCCGAGGAGAGGCGGTGAGTGTGAGCAGCACCGGCCGGGAGGGACGCGTGGGGGCTCCGCTGGGAGGGGACTGGCCCTCACGCCCACCCCCCGCCTTGAATCTAGTGAAGGAAGAGGCGCAGGACATCATCAAGCAGTTGTTTCACAGCCGAGCCCGGTGCGAGAGTGAAGCCGACTGGCATGGCCTGTGTGACCCGCAGAGATGACCGAAGGGGCCCGCGTTCCCGCGTTCCCGCGTTCCCGCCCGCCCCCAGACTCCAGCGTGGCCCACCCGGCCTCGCTCAGGACCAGGGATGGTGGGTGGCCTGCTCTCCGGCTCTCCCCGCTTCCAGCCACACCTCACTTTGGAAATGGGCCTGGACACCTCCCAAAGCGAGGTCAGCCCACCTTTCTTTTTGCTCGCAAAGCCTGAGGTCCTCTTTCTCCTCACCTCCCTGCCTCCCTGGCCCTCGTGGTTGGGTTTTCTGGGCCAGATCCCCAGGTGAGAAAGGGGCACGTGGTGTGGCGGCTGCCGGGGAAGGAGAAGGAAAATGGTCCCTCCACCTCTTAAAACACTTTAAACTCAGGGCGAGGCCCAGCAGGCCAAGGCTATGGAGCCGACTCAGGAGGAGCCCCTGCTGCCCTCAGTCCACCCCACCGCCCTCTCCCCTCATGATGCTGCCTGCAGCCCGGCCCAGGGGCAGAGCTCGTGCCAAGAGAGGCAGCAGCCCGCCCTGCCCGACTCAGCTCCTGGTCAGGAAGGCCAGGAGGGACATCAGCATTTACAGGAGAATAAAGTGTCCGGTTGGTTCTGACACGCATGCGCTCAGCCCCATTCTCTCAGGAGTTTTATTTCCTCAGCAGCTGCTCTTCCCAGGTCTGGGCACGTGCTGATGTGGGGCCAGGGCCCAAGTGGACATCTCCCCCAGGCTGGGTGACCCCCCAGACACCCAAGCCGAGTTCCTGCAGTCCCCACTGCAGGCCCACCCCAGAGTGAGGCTCGAAGCACTTCCCCAGTTGAAGTCACCATAGCAACCCCACTGTGGGCCGTGCTACAGTGGATTCCAGGACAGCCAAGCAGTGAAGTCCAAACCAGACTGGCCTGACTGCACCCAGAGGAGACTGTCCAGCGGAGATGTGGGCCGGGGAGGGGTCCCGTCTCCGTCTCTGCCCCCCCCGCCTTGGGTGCAGCGCAGCCGCTAACTGGAAGGAGGGTTGCCGTCCAGCAGGAAGGTGATGGTGTGCTTCAGTTCCTGGGCCTGTGCGGGCGTGGGCACATGAGGGCAGGGCTCCCCCACCAGCCCCCCGCCTTTGTCCCCCAGCCCTGCCACGCCAGAGCCTTGAGCAGCCTGTGCTCAGGCAGCCGGGCACACTAGGCCTGGGTGAGGCACTCGCCTCCTTCTCAGGGCGTGTGGAGGCCACCCACCTGCGGAAGCTCAAACCAGATGGTCTGGGGGCTGTTGGCTGAGCCGTAGTTGAGTTCCAGGCCAGGGGAGCCCTCTGCCTCCAGCGGGCTCAGCAGGTGGAGCCGCTGCAGATCCCTCAGGGCGACGGAGCAGCACAGCTCCTGGGGGTGGGGTCAGTGTCGGGGGTGGGAGACCAGTGCCCCGAGGGTGCCCAGGCCGGCACGGGGGCAGGAGCCCGGCCCACCTGGGAGCTGGGGTCCATGAGGACGAGGTGCTGGCGGTTCAGCCCCAGGAGGCCGGGGCTGGGCAGGGCCGGATTGCTCACTCGCAGCACCGTGTAGACCGTGTACCCGAAGAGGGGCAGCTCGCTCACGGCCTCTGCAGACAGACAGCAGGGCTGGTGGAGAAGCTGCTCAGCCCCTCTACCCTTGCCCCTCCTTCCTGGGTGCCCCCTTCCCCGCTCCCTGGCTGTCCCCCTGCCCCAGACCCACTGATGAAGCTGATCTGCGCTTCCTGGGAGCTGCATCCTTGTAGCTGCCTCAGTTCCCGGCCCAGCAGGCTCTTCACAGTGGCCATGTTCATCTGCCATTGCTGCTGCCTCGGCAAGTAACCCAGGAGGTCTTGCCTAGGACACAGCCTGGTCAAGTGAGGCTGGGCAGACAGCTGGTGCTAAGTCAATCAGCCAGTGACTACCATGGGTGAGACCAGGGACCCAGACACATGGATGAGGTGTGGGCCCTGCCCTGGAGGAATGTGGGGCGGGATGGGGGACAGGTGTACATAGCCCGCTGGGTTAGGGCCATGAAGGGCACCAGTGGCTTCGACTTTGGAGGAGGGGGTAAAGGGGTGGCAGGAGGCATGGGGGCTGCGTTCTGCTCACTCTGAGGGGAGCTCCTCCTCATTTCTGCTGAGCCGCTGCAAGGCCGCCAACCTGGCGAGCCGGGCGTCGTCCTGGGGGCTGAGCCCCAGCTTCCCCTGGAGGTAGTCCCGCAGCACCTGAGCGGGCGGGGGCGGCTCCTGAGCCTCGGGCCCACTGCTGCCACCCGCTTCTCCTTTGAGGGCAGGCCGTCTTGGGGGGCCCCTGCCCAGGCAGCTGAGGCTAGCACCACCATGCAAAGCTGACCTGGCCGTAGTGGGTGCTGATGTAGGTGGGATTGTCAAAGTGCAGCCGGGTCTCCCAGCCGAGCCGCCGACTGTGCAGGCTCACGCCCGGACCCCCCAGCACGCTGTTGAGGTACTCCTGGGGCCACAGGGGCCGGACCAGCTCACCTGCGCGGGGAGTCCAGGTTGACAACCAGAATGGGCTTACCAGGGTCAAGCCCCGCCCACGGCCTTGCCAGGCCCCGCCCACGGCCCGGTCAGCCGCGCCCACGGCCTTGCCAGCTCCAGGCGTGGGAACTGCCTCCCTCAAGGCCACAGTAGTGGAATCCACCTGGACCATGCTTCCTCACCAGCCCGGGTGGCTCACCGTCGCCTTTGACGAGGAAGAGGGCAAACTCCTGCACTTCCTGGGGGTCCGTGATGCCCATTTGCCTGCACAGCTCCTCCAGCACCTCTGCTGCCACCTAGAGGTGTGGACAGGGCTGCGACGGGTGCTGGGGAAGGAACGGGGCTGCGGGGGTGGGGGGTGTCCCAGAATGAGACCCATGGCTTCCTGTGTCTCCCCGCCCCCGTGGCCCTGCACTCACTGTGAAAGTGCGGATATTGGTCTTGTAATCCAAACCCCCAGGCAGGTGAATTAGGACCAGGTGGACTACTTGTCCTTTCTGCTAGGGCAAGCGCAGGGTCAGCCCACCCGTGGAAAGAGGCCCAAGCTCCTACCCACAGGGAGTCCCGGAACACCACCCGGCCCACACCCCCAGTACCAGGAAGGCCTGCATCTCGCTTGGGGAGGGCAGCCGCCGGCGCCCTCCATACTTGACTGTATGTTGGAGGTGCTCCTGGCTGCTCTGGGCCAGCTCTGCAGAGAGGAGCCAGGCCAGGCCATGAGCGTCTCTCAGCCCCTCCCTGAGCTGCCGAGACCCCAGCCGGGAAGCCCCTCCCCACCGGCACCTTGGCGAGGGCCCCAGTCCTGCAGAAACTTGGTCACGTAGGGCATCAGTGTGTTCGATGGGGGGACATAGCCCGTGAGGAGGCTGAGGAAGCGCCAGCCTCTTGCACAGAGTTTCCTGCAGGGCAGAGGGCCTGGGCTTCAGGCTGGCCAGGCTTCGGCGCTGTGCTTTCCCTGAGAGGCCCGCCCCTGCTCCCCTACCCCCGTCCCCCACTCACGGCCGGGGGTGTCCTGTGACCTGCTTGATGGCCTGACAGTAAACCTCGTCCCTGAGATCCTCCTTCTCCTGGCAGAGCTGTGGGGACAGGAGGGACACGGCAGTGGGGATGGCGTGGGATCTGAGGTCAGAGAGATCCTGCTAATGGCCACGGTGGGGGCAGGGGGGCAGGTCCGGGTGAGAGCCCACAGTCCTCTGTCGGGCTTGGTCTCACTCGCCTCAACAGCATCTGCACCTCTGGCCATTCGCCAAGTCACCGACTTCACCCGCTTCCAGGCTGAACTGGGTCCTGTCCTCCTCCTCTGGTCATCTCGGCTGACTCCCCTCACCTCCGGGACCTCTAGAGGCTGCAGTGCCCTCGGGCCTCTGTCTGAACTTGCTCCCTGGTGACCTGATCTGCTCACATCTGCTCATGACTCCCCGGGCCTGCCTCCAGCCCAGACCCTCCACTTGAAGACTGGGACTTCAGACTTCATGTGTCCCCAACAGATTCCGCCACAGGCCAGCCCTGCTCCTCACTCAGCCGTCCTTGTGGGAGACCAGCCAGTGCCCTGGCCAAAGCCTTGGTGTCATCCTTGGCCTCTCTGTCTCACGCCCCACGTGCACTTCATAGCAAACCCTCCTGCTGCCTCTGGGCCTGAGCCAGCACCATGTCTTACCTAGGATCATGGCAGTAACTTGTCCCTTGCCCGTAAACTCCCAGAATCGCAGACAACAGCCAGAGCAAACCCATGAATTGTAAGCCACATATGTCTTTCAAACTCTCCAGTGCTTTCCCCGATCTTGAAAACTCAGAAGTCCTGACAGTGGACAGCACTGTCCACGCCCTGGATCCACTGTCCTTGGTCCTCACCTTCCATTCCCCATCGCTCGCTGGGGCCAGGCTCCTCCTCTCACCAGCCCACACGCACTGCCCCCAGGTGCTCAGGCCTCACTCCCTGGCCTCCTCCAGGTCTCTGCTCCAAGGTCATCCTGTCACCAAGCCTGCTGCACCATAGCAGCCCTGCCCCTGCTCTATCGCATTCCACGGTGCTCTTGGCCCCAGGCAAGCTAAATCATGGTTTACTGACCGTCTCCTCTAGGTTGTAGGCTCTGTGGGGACTTGACCAACTTGGCCAAGTTGTCCTGAGCCCAGCATGTAACAGGTGCTCAGTGAATATTACTGGATGATTTGAGCATGTAGCGACCAAGGAGAGGGGATGCCCTCAAGGCCCAGCAGGAAGACCAAGAGGGGCCCCCAGGGCTCACTGTCTTCCCTGCAGCTTCTGGCACATTCAGCCCGTGCTCACCTTCAGCAACCCGTAGAGGAGATCCAGCTCATTCTTGCCCCGCAGCTTGGACTGGTCCCCCATAAACTGCATCAGAGCTGTGGGCAGGACACGATGCATGGTGAGCCAGGACAGGGGCCTAGTCCTGACTTGTGCTGCCATCACTATGAGGGGCCATCTCGTGCCTTGCTGTCAAGATGCATGGGAGCCAGGCGGAGTGGCAGTCCCGGCCTTACCAGTGAGACAGGGTTCAGAGATGCTGTGGGCCCCAGGGCTACACAGAGCGCCAAGCGAGCCGGATCCACCACTGCCTTCCAGCCCAGACCCCACACAGGCCGCAACCACTTGAGCATGAGTAGAAGTGGGGGGGGGGGCATGCGGCACAGGAGCCACTGGTGCGCCTCTCCAAGAAGGTGGCTGGACTCCTAGGTTGCAGGCACAGGGACCCAAGAAGCTGTGGCCACTCACCCTGGAAGCTCTCCACAGCTTGCCTATTCATGTCCTCGTCGCTGAAGCTGATGAGCGATTCCTGGATGGGAGCCTGCGGCCAAAGAGGCTGGGCTGTAGGTCTGGGGCCAGTGGGGCAGGGCCCGGGGGCAGGTCTGCAGGCCTGGCTCCCCCCCACCGTCCCCTTTACCTTGCTGTACTGCACCAGGCTGGCCATGGCCTTCTCAGCATCTCCACCGGTCTGGGCCGGCCTGAGGGGGCACGGGAAGGGCATACCCACTAGCTCAGCCCTCCCACCCCCATCCCAGGCCGGGTTTGGAGGGTACAGAGAGCCTTGGCCTGAGGGGCTTTAAGCATGGAGGCCTGCTTCAGGGGGACTGAGGATGGACTGGCATGGGGCTGTGGGGAGGGCAGGAAGGGCACTCACAGGGTCTGGGGTTTCCGGAAGTAGCGCAGGGCAAACTCCTTCATGGTGTAGTCGGAGTCCGTGGGCAGGGCGACGTAGGCCACGGAGGGGGACAGGCTGGTGGCCGAGTTGTCACTGCACGCCTGGCTCCAGGGGTGGGTGGGCAACTTAGGAATACAGGAGACCTGGTGCCACCCAAGGGTCCGCTGGCCTGTCCCGAGGCCCTGCCCCAGCCCCCAGCCCCGCCCACCCCAAGAGGAGCAGGCAGAGCAGCTGCAGTGAGCACACCACCAGAAGCCAGGAAGGTCAAGAGCCGTTTATTGAGCATTTTCCAGGCGCCACTGAACTAGGTACCACGAGAGGCAGACAGCCCCGCCCCTGCCCACGGGGAGCTCACAGTCTTGCTGGGGAGAGACAGGGAAAGAAACCGGGAGCGGGCAGAGGGGCAGCACCAGGCCAAGCGCTGCCCACCGGGCTGGGGGGTGGTCCTCAGCTGCCCGGGGGCCACGGAGCCCTTTCCTCAGCTCCTACTGAGGCCTTGCCTCTGCCTCTCCCGTCTCCCTCACCTCCGACGCCCTATCCCACTCTCTGCGCTGCAGCTGACCCTTGTGCCCCTGGCCGCTCCTCTGCTCTGTCGAGAAGGACGAGTCCGGAGCAGCTGCTGGCTGCACGACGTCAGCAGGGAAGAGTCCGGAGCGGCCACCGGTGGAGCCGAACTGCCAGCCTAGAGATGTCCAAGGATGGAGTCTCACCCACCCGGCCTCCCCCGCCCCGGCCCACGGAGGTGCCACCTTGTCTGCCCGCCACCCTGCTCGCCCCGTGGGTACCTGGCTCCAGGGTAGCCACTGGCAGCAGCTTGATGAGGTCCCCACGTTGGAAGCTGAGGAGACTGTGGTCGTCGGTGATGTAGCTCCGCAGGGCGATGACGTAGCCGGAGTCCTGCGGGCGGGCGGGCGGGCGGGCAGGCGGGTGAGGGGCCAGCCTGCTTGTGACCCCTTCCTGCCTGTCCCCCCTGCTCCCCTGCTGGCCTCACTCTCCACCCAGCGTCCCTGACTCCAGGCAGCTCGAAGGAGCATGGCTGACAGCCCCGAGACCAGCCAAGGCGGCCTGGGCAGCAGGCAGCAGCGGTGGAGGCCCCCTGCCAGCCCACACTTGCCTTCTTGAGCTCGCTCAGGAAGAGCTCGACCATGGCCTTGATGGCTCCCGCCCGGGCCGTGTGCAGCACCAGCTGTTCACTCTTCAGCGACAGCTCCAGGGTGGAGCCGGCCGGGCACTCCACGCCCAGCACCTCAGCAAAGCTGCGCCAGGGTGACGGCATGAGCCGGGGGGCCGTTCCACCAGCCCGCCCCAGCCCCGGTCCCCACTCACCTGTACGAGCAGAGAGTCTTCAGCTGGTCGGGGTGCAGGCTGGGGCCCTGGGTCACCTTGAGCAGTCTCAGCCCCCGGTGGGACACAGCCAGCAGCTGCACATCGCTGCCGCTCTCGCCCTGCCCGGAAGGCGGGTGGGTCATAGCCCGGCTCCCGGCTCCAGGCCACCGTCCACCCAGCCCTCCCCGGCTCTCATCCTGCTGCCAAGGAATCCAGCTGGCACCCAGTCCACTGCCATCCCCAGCCTCACTGACCGAGACAGGGAAGAGGCGGGAGAAGTAATTGGCCCAGTTGTCCCTGGCGGCCAACACAATGCGCTTCTTGATGCCGTCCTCAGCCGTGTCCAGTGAGTCCAGGCCCACCTCCAGGTCTCCTGCGGGCAGGAAGAGCCCCAGCCTGTCCTCAGGCTGCTTCACAGCGGGGACCCCAGCATTTACTCCCTCCCTCCGGACAGGTCCAACCCCCGTCACTCCAGCTCCCTGAGCCTCCCGTGGCTCCTGGACCCTACCCAGCAGGTCTTTCATCTTGCGCCTCTCGTCCCGGGAGATGCGGATGCAGGACTCAGCAAAGGTGTCCCTTAGGATCTGGGGGCAAAGCCAGGCATTCGCCACCCGGTCCCGACACCTCAGCCCGCCCCAGATGCAGCCACGCATGCAGGAAAAGCTGCAGGGCCCCCATGGGCACGACGCTGAGGGACGCAGGGGCTTCCAAGCTCAGGGCCACACCCACGCGGAGCTCCCGCCTGCCCCCCCAGCTGCCTGCACTAGTCAGGCTGCTGCTCCTCCTTCAGCTAAGCGTCCCTAAAAGAACAGACCTGGGGGAGGAGGGGGTGCTGTAGAACTGGGGGGAGCAAACACGAGCCTCTGGGAGCATCCACAGTTTGGCAGGCAGGCGCCAGTGAGCACCTGCTGTCTGCCTGGCCTGTGTTGGGTGCTGCATATGCTTCATTTTGGATCCTCGTTATGAGTCAAAAAGGGGCTTCCCTGGTGGCTCAGACAGTAAAGAATCTGCCTGCAATGTGGGAGGCCCAGGTTCGACTTCTGGGTCGGGAAGATCCCCTGGAGGAGGGCATGGCAACCCCCTCCAGTGTTCTTGCCTGGAGAATCCCATGGACAGAAGAGCCTGGCAGGGCCACAGTCCTTGGAGTCGCAAAGAATCGTACAGGACTGAGAGACTCACACACAGAAGTCAAACATGGTCCTCATTCTGAGGGATGTTGTGAGGAGTAAATAAAGGAAGGCAGGACTTGAAACACACCCGCGCCCCACGGTGGTAACCTGGCCAGGGGTGGGGAGGGTGGTCTGTCTGCACATAGCGCAGCAGGGCTGGGTGCTCACCTGCTCACAGAGGAGGCTGAGGCAGTAGGGGTGGCCGAAGTTCTCCCGCGGGTAGAACACCTGGACAGGGGCACGGGAGAGTGAGAGTGGGCGGCGGTGGTCCCCCCGCCAGCCTGGCTCTTGCCCCACCTCGCCTCCTGGGCTCAGAGGAAACCAGGCAAGAAGGTGGGCGGTGGGGAGCCGACGCTGGGGTCCCAGGCTGGCTCCCCCACCGCCTGTGCCTCGTCCCCCACCCAGAGAGGCCGGGTTGAAGCCCACCCTGGTGCCCACCTCCTTGCGCAGGAACAGCCTCCAGGGGGCACTGGCATAGGAGAAGCACACGCTGCCTGAGGGCACGAGCAGCTGGGTGGAGACCCCCTGGTCCCCCATGGGCTCCACCAAGCCTGGCGGATGGAGCGGCCAAGGAGCATCGGGCGTGGGCCTGCCTGGGGGCATGGGGTGACGGGGGCACAGGCAGAGAAGGCCGTCCTCCCCAGAGCCCCGCACGCCGGGCCGGCGTCACCTCTGCCGTCTCCCTCCCATCTGCCATCCCAGCACCCGCCTGCAGCTGTCCCAGACATGCGTGGGCCCTCCCTGACCACGTCAGCAGGGCCACTAAGTTCCTGACGAGGCCAACGCCCTGTGTGTGACGTCCGTCTGTGCCAGACAGGCCCCAGGGGTGCCCCGGCCCTGCCCCCCGCGGGAACGCGGAAGCTGGGGCTCCTGGCCCACGGCTCCAAAGTCCGAAAGCCCAAGCTGCTGACCTCGGTGCTGTGAGCTCAAAGAGGTTCTTGGGAAGCCCCCCCCCACCGCGCCCCCCTCAAAGCCCACCGCACGGGACGTGGGGTTCCTTACTGCGGGGCTCAGCCGGAGGGCTCGCTGGCTCCCAGGGCGGGGGCAGTGGGGGTGCAGGCGGAGGCGGGAGTTTCTGGGCAGTGGGTGGGTTCTGGCCAAACAGCTCTTGAAGGGGCCCCTGCTTCTCCTTGATGGAGCTGGAGGGCATCAGCCGTGGTCGGGCCTTGGGTCGAGGGGCCACGGCCGGTGGGGGGGCCTTCCCTGGGCTGGGGGACAGCGTCTGGGGAGGCACAGGGAACACACACAGGCTCTGAGCCGGGGCCAGGGTCACCCCAGGGAGCCTCAGGAGGACTCCGGAGCAGGGCGGCCACGCTCTGGACCCGACGGCACCTCACCTGCGGGGGCGAAGAGGCACCACTGATCCCCAGCTTAGCCAGAGCCTCATCCTTAGGGTTGTTTTTCTTCAGGAAACTCTGGGAGGGCTTCCTGAAAGAAGGAAGAGGTCATGAGTTCACAGGGTGACTCTCTGGGGAGCGGTTAGCCCCTCTCCCTCCCCTCCCCCTTCCCCCTTCCCCCGGCACCTCGCTGGCTGCACCGGCACAGGCACGGGGCCAGGGCGGCTCTGGTACATGCGGATGATGTTGCGGATCTCCCTGCTGGGCTCTGCCCGCCAGGGCTCAGGGTCCGAGCTATGCACCACGGCTCTGCCCTCGGCTGACCTGTGCCCCCTGCCAGGCCCTGCCTCCGTGGCCGGCTCAGCCTCAGCCTCCCGTTCAGCTTTGGCTGCACCTCGCGTCAGTGGTGGCGGCTTCTTCACCACCCGGGGAGGCGGAGGTGAGAGCCCTGCCCAGGAAGAGAGGAAAGACGTGAGACCCTATGCAGACCCGCAAAGGCCCAGCCTGCCCCCCGCCTCCTCACCACCTGCTCTCTGCTCCTCCTCTTCCGGCTCCTCGTCCTGCACCTCCGCCTGGGGGAGCTTCACCTTGGCTGGAGGCTTCATGGTCTTCACCGTGATCGGCTGCTGCCCTGTAAATGCCCCAGAGGGTCCTGCCTATTACCTTCCGCTTGGCCCACCCCTCTGAGCTTCGCTGGTAGCTCAGACAGTAGAGAATCCCGCCTGCAGTGCAGAAGACCTGGGTTCGATCTCTGGGTTGGGAAGATCCCCTGGAGGAGGGCATGGCAACCCACTCCAGTATCCCTGCCTGGAGAATCCCCTTGGACAGAGGAGCCTGGTGGGCTACAGTCTGTGGGGTCGCAGAGTCACACACGACTGAGCGACTAAGCACATGGGCCTCCTGGACGGGCCACCCTGACCAGAGGGCACCCTGCCGTGCCCTGGCCAGGCGGGGGCGGCGTCTGAGTCTCTGCGTGGGACTGCCTCCCCAAGGGTGCTCACCTAACTTCTGGAAATAGTCTCGTTTCTGCTGGAAGCTCCTTGGCCGTGGGCACCTGTCTTCAGCCTCCTGCGGGGTCTCCTGCTGGCAGGAAGGGGACGAGAAGGAGCAGCCCTGCCAGCTAAGTTGCCACTCACAGCACACGCACTTGGGCCCGCCGGGCCAAGGCCAGGCAGCATCTCTTCTGCCTCGCCCTGTGGCCCCATCCCCAAGCCCCCACATCTCCCATGTCTGCAGCCCTGAAGCCAGCTGCCCATGGGCCCTACCATCTCCCCAGCCTTGGCTCCTCACCCTCAGGCGGGCACCTACCAACTCCAGGCCACTTTCTGGCTCCTTCCGGGGGGTGGGTGTCTTCTTGGGCTTGTGGGTGATGGCCGGAGGAGGTGAAGTTGGGGAGACTGCTCTAGGGGCAGGGGCTGGGGCTGGGGCTGGGGCTGGGGCCTGGGCCGAGGCCGGGGCTGAGGTTGGGGTTGGTGCCGGTGCCGGGGCCAGGGCCAGGGCCTGACTCTGCTTCTGGAGTTGCTTTGCCTGCTGCTCCAGGGACAAGGTCATGGCCTGGGTGGTCATCTGCTGGGCCTGATGGACGGGGCATGGTGTGTCAGATGAGAGCTGGCCTTGCCTCTCCCCACAGGCCAGCACCCACGAGGTGATCCGTGGGCCCTGCCCGCCCTCACCAGGATCCGCGCCTGCTGGTTGATGAAGTCCTGCTGCTGGGCCGCCAGCTGCCTGGCGTCCACGCTGGGAAGCACGGGCTGTGGCTGTGGTGGTACCATCATGGCTGGGGGCATGGCGGGCAGACAGGCAGTCAGGGTGGGTTAGCGCCATGGCCGAGCTTCCAGCCCCCTGCCCACTGTGCCCTCCAGGTGGGACCTTCCCTCCTCCAGTCCCTGCCTGCCGCCCCTCCCCCGCCCCAAGAATGGACCAGGCGGCCACAGTCCAATCTTACCTGGGACTGGCCCCATGGCTGGCATCATGGGCATGGGTGCTGGCATCATGGCTGGCTGGTAGCTGGGCATCTGCACCATCCCTGGGTACACTGCGGGGACAGGGTCCTCCCATGTCAGTGCCCACCCGGGCCCCCAGAGAGCCTCCCTCCAGCCCCAGGCAAGGAGATGAGCACGGGCCAGAGGGGTGTGGACGGAAGCTCAGACAGCAGCTACGTGGGAAGCCCGGGCCGCGCCTCCCCCGACGTGGGCAGGGAGACCCCGGATGGGGCTCAGCCCCGCACTCACCCACGGGGTAGCTGCCTTGCTGCATGGGCCCGATGGCACCCCCTCCCTTCATGCGGCCACTCAGAGCCCTGCCTCGCTCCAGATCCTGCGGAGGCAAAGGTCACAGGTCAAAAGGTCAGAGCCAGAGCCCTAGGAGGGCCGGGAGGGTCAGCAGAAGCCCCAGAGGGCTGGGCTGGGGTGCAGGACACTCACGCTGAGGCTGGGGGAGAGGACCGGCTCGAAGAGGTGGTCCAGGAAGCCGTCCAGACTCCCTGAGCTCCGGGACTCACCTGTGGGAGGTTGGCGTCACCTGCCAGCGGCAGGGGCTTCCTGCAAACCCATTCTCATCCCCCCGCCTGCCTGAGGGTGCCCACTCCCCGCCTTACCTGTACGCCCCCTGCTGGGCAGTGCTGGGGCTGGACCCGGAGGGGGGCCTGGGGGCAGTGAGGGGGCCTGGACGCTGGGGGCCAGGGGGATGTTCTCAGCTCTGCAGGAGACAGTGGGCCCAGCTGAGGGCTTGGGGGCCACCTCCAGCCAAGGAGGCCCAGCTAAGGAGGTGGGGTGCCCAGGCTGAGGCAAGCTGTAGAAGCTGCCGGGGAGTGGGGGCGGAGGGTCATCCCCACGGGCTGGGAGGAGGCTTGGGGGCGGGTCCCGCAGCAGCACCAGGGAAGCCCAAGGTACGACAGGGTGGCGCCTACGACAGGATACGGATAGGAGCAGGCCAGCGGTGCTGGGGTGGCACCTACCGGCCACGGGGGGCGATGGGGTAGCTGTGGGGCCAGGCCGGGTCCCCCGGGTCCTCCGTCTGGCCGATCAGGTCCAGCACGAAGTCGCAGCCGGCCAAGTCCCTCCAGGAGTCCCCGCAGTGCAGTGACACAGACCAGCCGCGCGGGGGCGCATCCAGGCCTCTGGGCGAGACAGGGGCAGGGAGGAGAGGGTGGTCAGCCAGGCGGGTGACCATCCGGAAGCCGAAGGACCTGGAGGTGCAGCAGGGGGAGGCGCTTGCCGAGGGGGGGCAAGAGGACCCGGTTTCCCCTCTTTTTCTGCACATAAAAGGCCCTCTACCTCTGCGTTGGCTCTGAGGTATTTATTTTTGTTTCTTTTTATGTATTTTTCTGCTGCATTTATTCTTCTACCAATTTGATCAGAGTCTGGGCCAGATCTAGCAGGAATGCTCCCTACTCGCTCTCCATCTAGAATCTGCTGTCTGGACCCTAGGCGAGGGTGCCAGGCAGACTCTGCTGCGGGAGCCCTGAGCAGGAGGCACGTCTCACCGCTGAAGGTGGACACATCCAGCGCCATGCGGCCCCGCCTCCATCCGGCCGTCCACTCGAGCTGGGTGGGGGGGTGGACCCGTGCGGACCCAGGGGCCAGCTGCGTCTGCTCCAGGGCCCCCAGCAGCTTGTGTTGGCACAGCGCTGCCATGCCCCTGGGGGCCTGGTCGGACACAAACCTGCGGGTGCAGCATAGGGCTGCTATGAGCCTGGGGGGGCCTGCTGACCCGCCCACAGGCCCCCCTCCACTGAGCCCCTACTTGAGCAGTGGCTTCTGCAGGGTGTGCATCGGCGGGAAGGCACTGAGCAGGACGGCCATGAGGGCCCAGCCGCGCTGGCTCTGCTGCTCGTCGGGGTTGTGCCAGAGCTGGGCCACCAGCTGGCTGAAGAGCTCGTCACGCAGCCCCGGCCGGCGCTGCCCCTGCCGCACCAGGTACTGGCCCATGGTCTGCTCCTGCCAGGGCGCCAGCGACCCATCCGCCAGCAGCCGCAGCATCTGCGGACACCAAGCCAGGGGAGGCAGGTCGTGCAGGGCTCCCTGTGCCTGCCAGCACCCCGCACGGGCCCACCCTGTCCCCTCCCCGCTGGGTCACTCACCACCTTGTTGATATCCAGGGCATGCTGAGGGTTCTCACCGTTCAGCCGAGTCAGGGGCTTGGTCAGCAGCTGCCCAGGATGGGGCAAGGAGGGCTCCTGCAAGGAAGGAGGGTGCCACATGCCTGAGCAGAGGCTGACCTGTGCTGACTTGCCAGACACAGGCCCAGGGGAGCCCCGAAGGAGCGTATGAGAGGAAGACGGGCTGGCGANTGGGGCAAGGAGGGCTCCTGCAAGGAAGGAGGGTGCCACATGCCTGAGCAGAGGCTGACCTGTGCTGACTTGCCAGACACAGGCCCAGGGGAGCCCAGAAGGAGCGTATGAGAGGAAGACGGGCTGGCGAGGAAAAGTGAAGTTGCTCAGTCGTGTCCGACTCTTTTCAACCCCATAGACTGTAGCCTACCACACTCCTCCGTCCATGGGATTTTTCCAGGCAAGAGTACTGGAGTGGGTTGCTATTTCCTTCTCCAGAGGATCTTCCTGACCCAGGGATCAAACCCAGGTCTCCTGCATTGTAGGCAAACACTACCATCTGAGCCACAATGGAAGTAGAACCACCTGAAAAATACACCTTGATTGGGCTTCCCTGGTCCAGTGGTTAAGAATCCACGTGCCAATGCAGGGAGCACTGGTTTGTTCCTTGGTCCAGAAAGATCCCATGTGCCATGGGGCTACTAACCCCGTGCATCACAACTCCTGAGCCCGCACACCACAACTACTGAAGCCTGCCCCCTAGAGCCTCTGCTTCGTAACGAGAAAAGCCACCGCAATGAGAAGCCTGCTCGCCGCAACCAGAGAGTAGCCGCTGCGCGCTGCAACTAGGGAAAGCTCTCAGCATCAAAGACGCAGCACAGCCAAAACATAAAAATAAATATTAAAAAACATACACCTCAATTACTCTTTCTGATTAGAAAACTAAAGCCCGTGCATGCGGAAAACTCAGAAAACAGGAAAAGGATGAAGAATAAAAACCACCATCAATATGCCAGTGCCAGGTATAACCAGAGTTAACATTTTCACCTCTTTCTTCCTAGTCTTACTTCCTGTGTGAAGTTACACACGTCATCTCCCCACCCGCCCGGCTGTTGTCCAGAACATCGGGACCGTGCTCGATGACGTGCACTTTTGAATCCTGCTTTTGTTTCCAACACTGTTGCCTGGACACTCTGCCTTGTCATTAAACATGCTTTAACGACACGACTTCAGCGTTCAATGGCAGGGCGATGCCACAGGTGTAACAAAGGTGTGGCATCTCTGATAAGTAACAATAGACTGAGATGTGGGTTCAACGGATTTTCGGAGCAACACAGTTGCATCCACAACCCCCACAACAGGAGATGGAGAAGGAGGTTGGAGAAAGGAGGACAAACACAGCTTCTGCCTGTTTGGGGGCTTGTGTCTGGGGAAACGTGGGCAGCAGCCGGCAGAGCTGAGGCCTGGGAGCCCACCTGAAAGCCGATGGAGATGAAGCTGGAGAAGGGGAACTGGTTGATGTCAGGCGGGAGGGTCAGGCTGGGCCGGGCGGGAACTTCCGGGGGCATGGCCTCTGTGATGCTCTGGACCCGGGCGTGCTGACGGCCTGGGATGACACGGGAGGCAGCCCAGAAACGCCCTGGTAAGGCGACTGGCTCTGGTGTGGCCTCCACCTCCCAGCATCAGCCCCCGGCTCCAGTGCCGGGGGAGCCGGGCAGCGAGCTGGGGGCACCCAGAGAGAGCACCAGAGGGAGCGACCACCGGGAGAGGAGGGGGTCGTGAAGAACGAAGCCCATCGCGACTTACCTTCCGCTGTCTTCAGCATGACGGCGAGCTCAGCCGGGATCTCCAAGCGCCCCAGCTCCTGGTGGAGAGGAGCAATTGACCAGAAACTCAGGGAAGGGGCACAGGGACCCAGGGGCCCTCCTCACCCCCGGGGGCTGTAAGCTTCCCCTCCAGAGACCAAGGATGCTCGTCCTGGGCACTCCAATAGGGCCCCCTGAGCCCTCAGAGGGAAACCAAGGGCAGCCAGGCCTCCTCTTGGGGGGCACACGGATGGGCATGAGGACAGGACCCATCTCGGCACCCCAGGACCCCACACTCCCCCTCAAGCCAGGCCAGGTTCAGCAGGCTCACAACCCAGCAGACACCCTCCAGCTTCCAGGCCACCTACCATTCTTGGCACCGTCTCAAAGGCCCCGCCGCTGTGCCAGCTGCGCCGATGCCCAAGCTATAGGGGGAGATGCGGGAGGAGATGGTATCTCCGTGAGGCGTCACCCCGAGCTCCACTCGGCAGTTCAGCTGACCCCACCTCCTCCCAGGAGGCCCCAGCACCAGCGGAATAAAGGTGTGGACCCAAGGGGGCTGGCGGCTGCCCCCCGCCCTCCAGAGCCCTCACCAGCCAAAGCGCTGTGGGTGTCGCTGCCCGTCTGCCAGGACCGGGAAGAGGGCAGGAGGAAGGGAAGAAATGGTCCCCTGGGGACAAAGTCCAGGCAGGAGGGCGGGAGAGGGGCCGGCGTGTAGGCATTGACCTTCGAGCTGCTTTATGGCCCTCACGTTGGAGTCGTTGGGCAAGACAGGGAGCAGCCCAAGGGGCCCCCGAAGGGGATGGAGGCGCCCCAGCCGGCAGGGAGAGAGAGTCAGGCCCTGGCATGAAGGAAGGCGATGAGCTCCCGGAGGCCCCAGGCTGCCCCGGCCAGGCAGCGGGGACGGGACACTGCCAGCAGCCATCCCTGAGGCCTCGCCCCTCCTGTGGCTGGGCGTGGAGGGTGGTCACTGTCGGGATTCAGCCAACTTGACCGGCAAAGACTGGCTGGCTTCTCCCCTGAGCCTCCCCAAGGCAGCACCCCACCCGTGGGCTTCACCTGTGGTCTCCGCCGTCTCCAGAGCAGGGGCCGGGCCGCCAGCACAATGGTGTTCAGCTGCCCCAGAGCTGCCCGCCGCCCGAGGTACCGCTTCCTGGAGGCCGGGAAGGGGGCTGGTGAGGTGTCCAAGCTCACACCCAATACCCAGTTCCTCCAAGTTAAGACATGAGTGTAAAACCAGACCCAGTGAAGCGCCAGGCTGCCCAACAAGCAACAGGGAAAGGATAGAACAGAAGAGCAAGTAAAACCAAGAGGCTGTTGTGCACGGGGATTAAGATCTGAGGCTCTGGAGCCGGCCACCCGGGTTCCTTCCTCTACTGTTTCGTCACAGCAGTTTTGGAGAAGGTGTTTACCTCTCTGGATTATTTTTGTTTTTTTTTCAGACAAGCTCGTGGCTTGCAGGATCTTAGGTCCCCAACCAGGGATAGAACCCACACCCTTGGCAGTGAAAGTGCTAAGTCCTAACCACTGAACAGCCAGAGAATTCCCTACTTTAACTCTTGGTGTTTTATTTTCATCATCTCTAAAATGAGAATTATTGGACTGTCCACTCCACAAGAAGATAAAATGAATTAAAAGGTGTGTTTGGAATAGAGTCTGGCATATTACTATGTAAGAAACAGAAATTTTTCTTTTCCTCCCTCCAAGAAAAACTCCTAAAAATGAAAAAAATTACATCACTGGAAGTCTGATAGGAGATCCCAGAAGGGACAATATCTTTGAGAGTTTTCCAGATATAAGACCAGACTCCTCAAGGAAGCAGCCCTGAGCATGATAAATATTTAAAAATTAATCAATACGCACTTAGATGTGAAATAGATAAACAACAAGGATCTTATCTTTTATTGAAGTATATTGGTTTACAATGTTGCCAGTATATAGCAAAGTAATTCAGTTACAAATGTATACATACATATATATCTATATAGAATATAGAATAGAATAATATTCACTATCTTGTAATTACCTATAGTGGAAAAGAATCTGAAAAAGAATATATGTATAGATATATATGTATGTATATATTTGTAACTGAGTTACTTTGCTATATACCTGCAACACTGTAAACCAATATACTTCAATAAAAAATAAATCTACAGTCTTTTTTACATCAAAGTACACTATCAAGAGAGGAGACTGAAAAATAAGTAAATAAAAAAGAGAGAGGAGGCTGCTTGTAAATCAAATATTTGATAAGAGTTTAGTATCCATAATATATAAAGAATGCCTACAACTCAATAAGAAACAAACAACCCAGTTAAAAATCAAGCAGAGGACTTGAACAGTTGTTTCTCCAAAGAGACATACAGATGGCCAAGAAGAACATGAAAGATGCTCAACGCCACACGTCGTTAGAGAAATGCAAATCAAAACCACAATGAAATGCTACTTCACATCCACTCGATTGGCGATAATTTGAAAAGCAGAAAGTAACAAGCCTTGGCAAGGATGTAGTCAAACTGGAAGCTGCCCACACTGCCAGTAGGAAGGTAAAATGGTGCAGCCACTATGGAGAACAATCTGGCAATTCCTCAAAAAGGTATAGACAGAATTACCAGATAACTTGGAATTCCACTCCAAAGTAAAGACCCCAAAGAACTGAAAGCAGAGATTTGAACTGTAACTTGCATGCTCATGTTTATAGCAGCCATATTTGCAATAAGCCCAAAGGTAGAAACAACCCACACACACATTCAACAGATATATGGATAAATGACTGTGGTCCATTTACACAATGGAACAATTTTAAGGTGTAAAAAAATATATGATGTTCTGACACATGTTACAAAAGGGACAAACCCTGAAATATGTTTAGTGCAATAACCCAGATGGAAAGGGAGATGTTGTATGAGTCAACTCAGATGACATATCGAGAAGAGGCAAATTCACAGAAACAGAAATTATACTGGAAGTTACCAGGGGCTGGAGGGAAGGGAGAGTGGGGTATGATTGCTGAACGGGTACAGAGTTCTTGCTGGTGATGAAACGATTTGGAGGGACTTCCCTGGTGTCTCAGACACTAAAGAATCTGCCTGCGATGCAGGAGACCTGGGTGTGATCCCTGGTCAGGGAGCTATTAATAGATTCCACATGCCACAACCAACGATCCTGCATGCTTCGATTAAGACCCAGTGCAGCCAAAAAAAAAAGAGTATTCTTTCTGACTATGGAGAACAATCTGGCAATTCCTCAAAAAGGTATAGACAGAATTACCAGATAACTTGGAATTCCACTCCAAAGTAAAGACCCCAAAGAACTGAAAGCAGAGATTTGAACTGTAACTTGCATGCTCATGTTTATAGCAGCCATATTTGCAATAAGCCCAAAGGTAGAAACAACCCACACACACATTCAACAGATATATGGATAAATGACTGTGGTCCATTTACACAATGGAACAATTTTAAGGTGTAAAAAAATATATGATGTTCTGACACATGTTACAAAAGGGACAAACCCTGAAATATGTTTAGTGCAATAACCCAGATGGAAAGGGAGATATTGTATGAGTCAACTCAGATGACATATCGAGAAGAGGCAAATTCACAGAAACAGAAATTATACTGGAAGTTACCAGGGGCTGGAGGGAAGGGAGAGCGGGGTATGATTGCTGAACGGGTACAGAGTTCTTGCTGGTGATGAAATGATTTGGAGGGACTTCCCTGGTGTCTCAGACAGTAAAGAATCTGCCTGCGATGCAGGAGACCTGGGTGTGATCCCTGGTCAGGGAGCTATTAATAGATTCCACATGCCACAACCAACGATCCTGCATGCTTCGATTAAGACCCAGTGCAGCCAAAAAAAAAAAAAGAGTATTCTTTCTGCAGAGTGGAGAACAGACTAGAAAAAAGGACAGTTGGACTTTCCTGGTGGTCCAGTGGTTAAGAATCTGCCTGCCGATGCGAGGGATATGGGATCAATCCCTGGTCCAGGAAGATCCCACATACCACTGAGCAACTGAACCTGTGAGCCACAACTACTAAAACCCAAGTGTTGGCAACTACTGAAGCTTGTGTTTATATTCTGGAGCCCATGCTCCGCAACAAGAGAAGCCACGGCCACGAGAAGCTGTTGAGCACAAGGAAGAGTAGCCCTGCTTATTGCAACTAACGAAAGCCCACACGCAGCAATGAAGACCCAATGCAGCCAAAAAAAGACCAAAACACCAGTCAAGGAGTCAAGACAGCAGGTTTGCGTGGCCTCAGCAGGTAATGAGCTTCTCGTGGCAGGAGGCATTCAAGCAGAGACAGCAGAGGTACGGGCAGTGGTGTCGGCAAGAAGAGTCCAGTGCCAATGGGAGGCAGGCAGGCAGACTTGCCTCGAGGCCCTATGTCTCCCAGAGCCTGCCCTGCCACGTTGAGGAGGCCTACAGTCTCAGTGCCCCCTGCACACCTGGCCTGGAGCCCGCGCACACGAGCCTGCATCCGCGGCAGGAGGCGGAGGCGCTGGTAAGAGATGCAGACGCGGAGGCCTCGGTGCAGGGTCTGCAGGGCCTGGGTGTGCTGCTGGGCCCGGCGCTGCTCCAGCTGCTGCCAACCCGGCTCCCGCAGCAGTACCTGGGGGCAGAGGTGTGGGCTGGAGGCAGGCCAGTTGTGTGGGCGGGGACCACCCTGCCCTTCTCCCGAGGGCTCAGCTTCCTTCCAGGCAACCCGTTCTCCTGGGGTGCCCGGGACAACCAGCCCACTCCGTCTCCCCACCACCTGGAAGGACCACCATATTCTGAAAGGATCCCAGAATGCTCCTCCCGCTTGCCAGCCCTCCCTGCCTCTCTGCACACACACACCGCCCACCTGGGTGGCTCCCAGGTGACAGAGGGGTGACTCAGCCGCCAGCACCTGGTTCAGGATGATGCCACACCTTTCCCGGTCAGAGAGCTCGCCCTGCCCCTCGGCCCCCAGGGCCCGGAACCTGCCCAGGGATGGATAACTCAGGTCAGAACAAGCAACGAGCACCTCTCCCCACACTCATTTGATCTCCGAGCCCCTTGGGTGCATTCAGTCTGTAAGTCATTCAACAGTGATTTGGAAAGCACCTACTATGTGCCAGACACCCAGAAGAGTTTTGCTAAGAGGAGGAGAAGTCGATGAATGCACAGAGGCACGCAGAGGCATGGGGGTGACTAATAGTGGAAGGAGACACAGATGAAGGGAGAGGAGAGTGACAGAGAGTGGAAGGGTCCCTGGGAAAGTGGGTCCGTCTTCCCCAGAAGGAGCCCCAGGTCTGCCAGCCACTCCAGGGGGTACTGCCTAGTGAGTCCTGGCCCTGGGGTGCCTGCCGCCACCCCCATCCCAGGCCCTACCTGTCCAGGAAGGCCTGGAAGGGCATGCGAATGGGGAAGTTGGCGCCGCGGGTACACACCGCCTCCAGGATGCCCGCCTGGCGCAGCTGTTCTGCCACGTGATCCACATCAAAGAGGCCTGGAAGCTGTGGCCAGGCAGTGGGGCAGAGCCAAGGACATGGGCTCGAGGGGCTCAAAGCCGTGGGGAGCATGGGGCGGGGCGTGGGAGGGGCGGGGGTGCTGAGAGGGCAGGGCAGGGGTGGGAGGGCTTTGCAGCCAGGTGCTGGGAGAGCTCACCATTCCTGGATTGGGGTTGAGGCACTGGATGAAGGAGACATGGCTCCTCGTGGGTGGAAAGGGGAGTCACGTGAGCACAGACTGGCCCCCCTATTCAAACCCCCAGAGGTCAAGTGTGGGGGCACTATTCTCACCTGCCCAGCTGGGCTACGAGGTCCCCCAGGGACTTCTGGAAGCGAGTGGCCAGCGTGGGTTTGCCTGGTCCTCCCCTGAATTCATCAGGCTCTGCATCCCGGAACAGGCGGCTCACCAGCTGTGGGGTGAGACAGGGACTGCGCCGGCTCACTGGGCCTGTCCATAGCCCAGCCTGCCCCCCATCCCCACTCCCTGGGGTGCCAGGGTGCGCCGGCCAAAGGCTCAAGGTGCCAGGATCTTGAAGGCCAGCCCCTTGGGCAAGACTGTCTGGGCGAGGAGGACAGAACGGGCTGGGAGGTGTGTATAGGAGGGCCAGCAGGGGCACCTGGAGTTGGCTCTGGGCAAGCATTTCCACCACGGCAGGGTCAAGATGATCCCGGTTTCTGTTCAGAAACTTGTGAACCTGCAAGAGACAATGTGAGGCGGGGAGGGGAAGTCAAGGAGAGGAGGTGGGTGAAGAAGCCAGTCCCTTTGCCAGGTGATCCAGCCTCTTCCCTCTGAGTTAAGAGTCCAACTTCAAAGGTGGCCTTTTACCTCACACCATGTACCAAAATCAACTCAAAATGGAAGGATCAAAGACCTAAATGTAAGACGTGAAACTGTAAAACTCTCAGAAGAAAACAAAGGGAGAAAGCTTCATGACAGTGGACTTGGCAATGATTTCCCGAATAGACACGAAAAGCACAGGCAACAAAGGAAAAAATAAACTGGATTTCATTAACATGAAAACCTCTTGTGCATCAGAATACAGTGTTGAGAGTGAAAAGTCAGCCCACAAAATGGAAGGAAATATCACATATCAGATAAGGGATTAATATCCAGATTAACGTACAGAACTCCTACAGTTCGGTGTAAAAAAAACCCACCATTCAAAAATGGACAAAGGAATTGAATAGATATTTCTCTAAGAAAGACACACAAATGACCAAGGACATGAAGAAATGCTCAACATCACTAATCTCTAGAGAAATGCAAATCAAAACCACAACGAGATACCACTTCCCACTCACAAGGATGACTTGTTCCACCCCAAACCAGTCACCCGATTGAACCGTTTGTAGCAGGCCCCCGCCCCCTTGAAGCTCTCCTCCTGGGTAGGTGTGCATCATCACGAAACTCAGAAGGGGGAGACAAGGTCCCTTTACGGAGTACCTTGGAGGTGCCAGGCACCTGTCCCACCACTTCCATGTAATTACGTTAATCCTCAGGACAATGCTACAGGACAGGTTCCCCTTCCCATTTTACAGATGAGGACAACGGAGGCACAGAAGGAGAAGCAGACTGCCTGAGGTCATCGGAGCCAGGTCCCATGCATACGCTCTGCCCCTCTGGGTCTGGAGGGTCCCAAGGCCTTGACTCCCCCACCCCGCAATGCTTGCCCAGAGCTCAGGGAGTCATGCATGAGGTGAGGCAGAGGGGCCCAGAGAGATGGTTAAAGTCTTGGAAGAGGTTTCCCCACACCCCGCTTACCCGTCAGGTGACTCCCCAGGGTCACTCTGCCCTCACCCTGATACCTGGTAGGTGACAGTCCCGGCATAATGTCGCACGGTGAAGATGGGAAGGGGCAGCTGGGGCTTGGTGTAGCACGGGTGGTCGCCATGGTGATAGTGGCACTTCTGTAGGAAGGTATGGTCCGTGGCCTGATGAGAGGAAGAGATGCTCAGGCCTCTGCAGGTGTGGCTCCCCTGGCGGGGCTGTGCCTCTCCCCCCTGCCCCCCAAAACCATAGACACTGAACACATGGCGAGCTTTGGTTTGGTCCCCAAACTTTCTTAGGAGGTTGCTCCATATCTGAGTCCTTATAAAGGGCGCAACCTCTTTCCCAGGGACTATTTTGAACAATCAAGAAAAAACATGGAAGCCTTGCACACCTTAGTCAATAAGATTTGGCGGCTTAGAGAATGTTTGATAAAATTATTTAAAAGAAATGGGGCTGAGGGACTTGAAGCAGTTTTGGCAATGATTCCTGGGAATCTGGTCTCACAGTTACAGGTGTTTCTGAACAAGTTTTTCAAAGATACTTTTAAGAACCCATCCAGGGACTTCCCTGGCGGGCCAGTTAAGAATTAACTGTCTTAAGAGTCTGAAAACAAAAAAAGTCTGTGCTTCCAATGCCAGGAGTGTGGGTTTGATCCCTGGTCAGAGAACTAGGATCCCACATGCCATGTAGTGTGGCCTAGAAAATAAAAAAGGGGGAAAGATGCAGTATATTTAAATGAAACATTAAACAGACATGGGATGTGTGTGTGTTTTTTTTAAGATTCACATATAAAAAGTCACCCAGTAAGAGGCTATTTTATGGAGTTTGAGGCCAAAGAATCTTGATGAAACCCCAAGCCCCTCGTGGAGCCAGTACAGTCTGCATAACCTGGCCCCTCAGGCACGATGGTCCCCCTCCCGAAACAAGGAGTCTCAGAGAGGTCAGCATCTCACTCAAGATTATCCAGAGACTAGAGATCTGAACCCAGTGTGGCCACTGCCTTCCCAAGTTGTACTGAGGGCCTGTGAGCAAGGTCCCAGGACCTCAGACTTTATTTCTCCCCTGGAAGGCCCTGCTGGCTCTGGCCTGGCCACCAGGCACCCCCGACTCCTTGTCCCCCAACTTGAGGGGCTCACCTGGGACAGCCATGTCTGGGCATCCAGGATATTCAGGAGGCTGTGCGGCTGGTCTACCAGGAGGTCCAGGCAGGACTCCTGCGGGGCCTGGGGGATGGGCACCCAGGCCAGTGACTCCCTCCGACACTCCTCCTGGGAACAGCCAGTGCTTGGTTCATGGAGACCACCCGTGCCCATGGGGGGCCTCATCTGAGCCAGAGCAGGGCTGACCTTCCCATTGTACAGATGCGTAAACTGAGGCTCGGAAGGACCGAGACAGCCTACAGCAAGGGGGCTCTGGGGCAAGGCTCCAGTGAGTGCCCACTCTCCCCCAGGGATGGCCTCTGTTCTAGGAGACAGCTGGGCATCCCCGGCCTCCTCCCAGCCCGGCTCCCGTACCTCCTCCAGGGCCAGCAGCAGCCGGCGGTGCCACAGCTGCAGGCGCTCGCTGCCCAGATTGTTGCACAGCTGCTCCAGACCATTGACCCGCAGGGCCTGGGGGCGCACAAGCAGTGAGGTGGGGGGCCGGGGCAGCTGGGGGGGCCAGCACACAGGCCTGGTGCCCTTCCCCCCCTCCCACAGCTGCCCACATTCTCCCCAGCACCAGGCAGGATGCTGCCCCAGGGCTGATGCTGCCGCCTCCAGGGTCAAATCCAAAGACCCTGGCCCAGCGTGCGCCCGCCTCCGTCCTGCCCCAGCCCCAGCCAGGCCTCCCTCCAGCAAGCTGTCCCCCTGCCTTCTGCCTCAGCACTGCTGTGAGCCTTCGGGCCTCTGATCACAGCCATCCTGTGGTCTGGAAGGCAACTTTTCCTACAGCCTAGCTCAGGGACTGTCAGAATGCCACATTCTCATAAGCAGAGTTCCAGGCTGCTGCCTCCAAGAAGTCTTCCAGGAGTCCTTCTGTTGGAATTCCAGTCTCCTTCCTCTGTATCCCCAACACTTAACTATCAAGCCTAGCAGAGCCCCTACTTCATGCAGCTTTGTACAGTTTTTTACATGCTCTAAAATACACACAAATGTGCACATGAATACACACACACACACACACACAGATGCCGTGGTCATCCCCTTCCACAGAGAGGGGATGGTCACCAAGGACATAGTGGAGAGGAGACAAGAGCAAAGGACAGTGAACGGTGCCCATCTCGTCCCTCCTCCCTGGCCTGAGGGGGCAGGATGCTCTGGGAAGGGGGTGACGAGCTTATGAAAAGTCAGGGTGATTTGGGGGAGTCCCCTTCTCCCCTCGCCTCTTGGATACAGGAAGTGAGGTTGACCCATCCTGGGGTCTTTCACTGCCTCAAGGCTCCATGAGACTCTGCAACAAGGCCAAGCAGGCAGAACTCTTCAGAGGTGACATCACGACTGGACAGGGCAGACGGCTGTACCTACGGAACGTGCAGCTGTCTCATGGACCATCTTATGGTCAGAGAGGCAAGCAGTGCATGAGTGTGCCCCACAGAAGAGCTGCTGGGGTCCCCAGGAATATCCAGGACGAGGTGGACACCCCTTTCTGGGCCCCACCCTGGGGTGACCTCAAAGCCGTAGACATCCACGACAGTGACGGTAGCCGTGCTGCCTGCCTCCGCAGGGGGCGCCAGCCGCGCGTTGGCCCTCCTCAGAAGCCAGGCGAAGAGCTGTGCGTATAGGGCCTTGGCCAGGGTGTCCCTGGGGGCGTGGTGAGTGAGCCCCGTGCAGCAGGGGCCGGGCCTGCTCCCGGCTCTCTCCTGCTCCCAGGGTTACCTGGCATCAATGGCACTTTCCACGGGCAGGGATCTCGAGACCTGGCCACAGGGCGTCTCCTGAGGGCGGAGAATGTGCAGGTGGTGCGCCAGGCCCAAGGCCCACCCCAGGGCTCCCCAAGCCTTTGGGTGGTCTGCTCAGGCCCCCCTTGCCCAGGATCCTCAAGCTCACCATGACCCTCCGGGTGACCGCCCCCTCCAGGCGCTCGGGCGGCACCCGCAGCAGCTGGGCTGCGGCGTGGATCTCGGCCCAGCTGGACACGGCGGCCACCTCCTGGGACTCCCTCTGGATGGAGGCGGGAGGGAGCAGGGCGTGCTCTGCTTGTGGACTGGCTGCATCCCGTGGTCGGGGGCAGCACCACACTCAGACTGGCCAGGTGCCCGTGACCCAGAGGTAGACCTGGGCGGGGGGCTGGCTCTGGAGTCTGAGGGCCTGAGTGAGGCCCCGACAAGTCTCTTTCCCTCTCTGAGCCCCCACTGTCTTATTGTCAGAGGGGAAATAATAAGCTTTATGAGACGGTGTTCTCAGGAGCACTAAATGGACTTCCCTGGTGGTCCAGCGGCTCAGACTCCACGCTCCCAATGCATGGGGCCTGGTCAGGGAACTAGATCCCTCATGCCATAACTAAGACCTGGTGCAACGAAATAAATATTAAAAAAAACACCAAAACTCTATGTAGGGAATTCCCTGATGGTCCAGTGGTTAGGACTCTGCTCTATCACTGCTGAGGGTTTAAGTTTGATCCCTCGTTGGGGAACTAAGATCCTGCAAGCTGCTCGGTGTAGACTCCCCACCCAAATATACATACATACATACACACACACACACACACACACACACACACATACATATGTGAAATCCCAGGTACATCATAGCTGCTTAGTTAACGCCAAGCATCCGTCTTAGGGTGGTGCCTTAGTGGGACAGGATTAGTATGGAGGCAGAAGACCCTAGTTTCAGCTTTCTCATTTATAAGATGGAAATCCATCCAGTTTCCAGGACAACGGTGAGGCCTTGCGGGTAGCCTCCCGCACTCTGAGGTTACCGCTGCCCTGATGATGCAGACCAGCCAGACTGCCGATCCGGTGCCTATGCGGAAGCTCACCTCTGACGAGGAAAAGCAGATGTTGCCCAGCTGCAGGACGGAGGCCAGCACAGCCCAGACAGCGGTCAGCTCCTCGGCGCACAAGCCCAGCACGTGCAGGGCCTTCACCAGTCCTGTGAAGTCCTGGGCATCGTCCTTGTCCTGGAGCCTGCAGGCGCGGCCCTGCCGAGCACAGCAGGGCTAAGGGGTAAGGGGATGGGGCCGGGCCTCCCACGGCCTCCCTCACCTAGACCCCAAGCGGGGACCCCCTCCCTGGGCAGGCCCTGTCGACCGGCACCGGGGAGGGCCTCCCCTCACCTGGTTGAGGTAGTAGTAGGTCTCCGGCCCCTGCAGGGAGAGCTGTTCCCGTTCCATGGGGTCCAGCCCTGCCAGCAGCTCATAAAAAACATGGAAGCTCCGCTCAGCCTGGGCCTTGGGGGGAGAAGGACTGGCTTAGGGGGAGCGGTAGCCAGGTCTTGTGCCCTGGGGAGCAAGGACAAGCCCCCAGGGGAAGGCCGGCCGGGGGAAGGAGGGGTCACAGCGCCTCCCTCTCCCCTGTGCTGGGAGCAGTGGGCTGGGGTCGTACCTGAAACACCACCCTCGAGGTCTCGAGCAGGTGATGCGACACAGAAGCGCCGACGACGGTGCCCCTGTGGGCACAGGACACTGGGTGAGGGTGCCCAGGGTACACGCGGCCCGGGGCCCCTGCTCAGATGGCACCCACCGAGGGCTGGACCCAAGGGCGGCAGGCTCAGGTTCCCAGTCCGGGCAACCGGCCGTGAGTGCCCCTGCCCACCTGGACCCCCGTCACTCACTGCTGCAGGCAGAGGCTCAGGACCTGGCCGAAGCGGCTGGCATTGGTGTTGAGGACTGTCTTGGCGTGGCCAAAGCTGCTGAGGAGGGGCAGCACGGTGTCCAGCTGGGTGGGCAGGGGGGACATTCAAGTACCTCTGGGCGCGGCAGCCCCTCATGGGCATCCCAGGAGAGGACACTACGTGGGGGCTCTGTCGGCCCATGGAGGGGTCGGTCTCCCCAGCCCACCCTGCCCCCGCAGTAGGCAATGCCTGGGGCTGCACCCGAGGAGAAGCCAGAGGCCTGAAGACCACTCTCCTGGCTCAGAGGAGTGGGAAGTTCCCTCTTGGATCCCTGGACAGTGGCGAGCTGCCCCTCACCCGACACCCTCTCTCCCTTGTCTGCTCCCGCTCCAGGCTGTGCAGGAACTGCACCATCTTTTTGGCCGCCTCTGTCTTCCCAGAGCCGCTGTGCCCACTGCAGGAGAGAAGGGCTGGCAGGGCCTCCAGGAAGGGGCACATAGGGTGGTCCCAAATGAGCCCCAAAGTGGGGATGTGCCCACTTGGAAGTGACGCCCACCCTAAAGGAGGCTCCCAGAAATGCAGAAACAGAGCCGGGGCAGGGAGGCCAAACAGAACAAAAAGTCCCCGAGATGCCTCGCTCAAGGCACACGGTCTTAGCAAGTCCAGAGCTGCTGCCCAGCAGTGGACCAGACGGGCAGTTTCAAATACGGACCTCACATCGCCCTCCTCCCGGCACTCAGCATGGCCTGAGGGCTCCGTCACCACTCACCCCAGCAGGATGCAGGTGGCCTGCCCAGTGCTCTCAGACAGGCTACAGGCCGATGCCATGACGGCAAAGATGTGTCTGGGGGATGAGAGAGGAGGTCACCAGCAATGGGCACCTGGGGCCTCCTAGGTGCAGGCAGGTCCTGCCCACAGTCCCCTGGGCCTCAGTCAGTGTGATGTGCTGGGGTCTAGCCACGAGGCGGGAGCAAAGGCCTGGTGGGGCAAGTTCACGTACGGGGTGGTGTTGGGGGTCTTCCCAGGGCGGTAGCTGGCCAGGACCTCAGGTGAGAAGAGAGGCAGGGTTCGGCGGGGGTTCAGAGCGAGCAGGAGGGGCCCCCCGAAGGTCTGGGAAGAAAGCGAAAGCTCTCATAAGAATGTGGGGGGAGCAGGGTTCAGCACCCAGCCCAGGGAGAAGGATGGAGGGGGACACTTGGGCCGGGGTCGGGGTGGGGGTACCCAGAGGGCTCTCTGACCCCAGGGGAAAGGGAATCCCAGCTCACCACCCCCTCCTGGGTCCCCCGTACATAGATTCGGCCCAGGTGAAACCTCTTCTTGAGACACAGTAGCACCGAGCTGTCGCAGACTGGCCTGCGGGGCCGCGGGGTGGAGGAGAGGGGAGTTGGGAGCAGAAAGAGACCTTGGGTTAGCACCGCCGCTGGCAGCCGAGACACCTCCACCAAGTCCCGCACCCTCTCCAAGCCCGTCCATAACACAGGGCCTCCCCACCCCCCGCTGAGCAAGAGCTCCCACCCTGGGCGCTACAGGCAGGACCAGGCTGCTGATCAAGAAGGAAGCTTTGTGCCAATTAGAGAAAGAAGTGGACCTGGATTCTCACCCCTCAGCTGCCCCTTCCAGCCTGACGACCCTGTGTGGCAAAACCCCTTGGAAGGAGACCCTCCATAAAAACCGAAGGTTGGGTGTGACCCAGGCAGGGCAGGTTTGGGGCCACGCTCACTCACCACAGCCGGGCCAGGTCCTCAGTGTCTTCCAGACCTTCCCCGACGCTCCTGCCGTCTGCGCCGCCAAGAAAGGGAGGCGCCCCCGGGCCCCGCGCGAGGCCCAGCTCCAGGTCCCTCTCCAGCGCCTCCTCCACCTCGTCCTCTGGCTCCCATCGATCCCTCGGGGACCCGCGGGGGCCAGGGCTCCCCTCCGGCCGCCGGCGGGTCTCTAAGGTGAGTCGGGGCAGCAGTGCTTCGGTGTCAAGCCCGGGGTCCTCGTAGGGGTCTGAGCACTGCGCCCAGTGCACCGGAGCCGCGGCTTCCAAGGTCTCGGGCTCCGCTTCGCTGCTGGAGCCGCTCTCGTCCAGGGGGGACTCCTCGTGGGGATTCGGGCTGAGAGAGCCCCGGGGGGACCCGGCCACCCCTTCTACACTCGCCCTGCGCCCTGCACTGTCTGCAGACGCCCCCTCACAGGACCAATCGCGCCCCTCCCCGGCGGGGGCGTCCGCGGACCCTTCCTCTGAGCTCACGCGGCTCGAGGTACTCCCTGCCCCGTGGACCCTGGGGAACACCACGGCGAACTTGGGATCTGGAGTCGGGTCCTCAACCCCCAAAGGGTCTTGGGCTGGGCTTCTCGCAACCTGCAGGGAACTCGGGCCGCCGCCAGGGGGAGGCCCCGGTCGCCCCCACAGCCCCGCGACGCTCGCCAGGCTCAGCGCTAGACGGCGGCGGCGCGGCCCCGGCCCGCGGCTCGTCCCCTCGCTGGTCCCGGGACCCCGCGCGCCCCCCGCGCGCCGCTGGAGCCGCAGCCGCAGCCACCGCAGGAATCCCAGGGCCCGCGCCACGCGCACGAGCCGGTCCTTGAGGCTGCAGCGGCGGGGACCGGCGGCCTGGGGAGCGGGGCCCGGCGGGGGCCTGGGGCGGAGCCTGCGGAGCGCCACTAAGGCGGCCAGCGGCGCTGGGGCCCGGGGCCCGTCACCCCCAGACCCCTCGTCGCTCACGCCCACCGCCTCCTGCGACTTCCCCACCACCTTTCCAACCTGGCGGCGCTGACCTCGGGCGGTCAAGGCCTCGGCTTTTTCGGGCGGGGCGCCCCTCGGCTCAGCTTCGAGCTGCACCCCATCCTCTCTTGTATCCCCGCCCTGCCTGGGGTCCTGAGAACCCCACGAGCTCCGAGGGATGCAGGCGGGGCTGCCCTCCACGGGGCTGGAAGCTGCGGCTTTTCTACCTGGGTCAGCCTCGCCGGCCTCAGGGGCCCCGAGGGTCGTTTCTGGTGCTGCCCCGGGGCTCCGTTCAGACCTGGCCCTCTCCTGACTCGAGTCTGGGTCTGTCCCGGAATCCTCGGTCTCTCCCTGGGGCCTCGCCGCCGCCGATCCTTCTGGGCTCTGGGGCCGCGAGGGGAGCTTGTTGCTGCCGCTGGAGCCGTTGCTGTTCCACTGCGCTCCTGGTGCCTCCAGCCCCGACTCTGCGCTGGTTTGAGTGCCCCCCGAGCCCATGTCCGTTTGCTCCAAGCTGGGCCTCTGCTCTGGGGTCCCACCGCCCTGGCTGCGGCTCTCCTGGGCCTCCTGGGCTTCGCTGTCCAGGCAGGAGCTGGCCCCGTCTCCACCCGACGTATTCCCGTCGAGGCTCCGTGTCTCTGGGCGGCCCCGCTGAGCCGAGGGTCCGAGTCGTTTTCCTCTCCTTTTGCGGCGGTAGCGCTCGCGTGTCCTCCCTCCCGGGAGGAAACCCTTCTCCTCCATGCGCTCCCTGTGGCCGTCGCCCGGCTTGTCGCTCTCCTTAGCTAGGTATCCCCCACGGGTGTGCCCGCTGCCTCGTCTCCCCTCGGCCTCCGGCGGTGGCCCTGCCTCTGCCCGTCTGCAGTTCCCGTTCTCCCCTACAGGGGGCTTCCTGTGGGCACTGGGGGGCTCCTGGCCTCGCCTGGCGCTGGGCTCTCTGTGGGCCTTACGGTGGCCCTTTCGATGTTCCCGGCTCGGCGCGCTATCTGCGCTGGCAGACCCGGATTCCTGCTCCCCCGAGGGGGGCCTCCGGGATCCCTCCGGGCGCTGGGGCGCTTTGCCCTTGCTCCTGCCCATGGCTTCCCGGTGTCTCTCTCCTCTTCTCGCCCCAGGAGCTGGCTGCTCGAAGGCGTACTCTCAGCAGCACACCACACAGGCTCTGCGCTGATGGGGGCTACAGGCTCCATCTACCCGCCCCCACGTCTCCCGCCTTACCCGAGGGCATCAATAATGCAGGTGGCTGCTGGTCCTGACCTCCTCGGCCAACAATAGAGCGGAGGCCAATCAGGAAAGAAGAGCTGCAGGTGCGGACAAAGGCCATGGACAGGGCAACCATGCTGCCTTGAGTTGCTGCCAGCCCGGCCAGCCTGGCACCAGGCCCGACCGAGGGGCCTGCGCTCTGCTCCTGCCTCACTGTTTTGGCATCAGGGGGTGGGGGCGGGTGCCAGAAGAAACCATTTGGGCCATCCTCCTTGTCCTGGGGGGCTCTGGGGGGACCCACCCTCCTTACTTAGCCCCTTGGAGGCTGGAACCAGGCTGACCTTGGTGCACGGCCAGAACCTAGTGAGGGTTGTTAGTTTCGTTGTTGCCCTTGTAGATTGTGAAATATAATTTAAAGAAAACTGCATAAAACATAAATGTACACCTTGGACTGGTGTAAAGTAAGTAAATGCTTCTTAGTCATGGAACATAATCAGACCCCAATAAATTTCTGAGCACCCACACGTATGTGTTGCTCTAATATTTAATTTTTTTGAACAGGTAGTCCAGAAGATGAAAGTTTCCCATTCCTGACCCACAGCTATTCATTTTCCCCTGAGGTTACCCATTTCTTATATTTCCTTCCAGAGCTATCCAGGCAGAGAAAAGCAAGTATTATTTTTCCCTTTGAGAACTGGTGGAAGCTTTTCTAGCTCATGGTGCTTCACTCTAACAGATTTTTCCTAACAGATTATCTTGGAGATTTCATAATAGTAAAGATTTTTTTAACAACTTTGTAATATTCCAGCAAATGAATGTGCCATAGTTTAACCAATTCTTTATTGATAGTGTGAAAATTAATAAAGGAAACACTCACTAAATGGAGGCCAGAGGCCAGAAGGGGGAGTCCTTATACACTTAACCAGTTCATCTCGATATAGATCCCAAGAGAAAAAAATGTACTTTGGATCTCAGGCAGGAAGTGACACAACTTTACTGCTGCCAGCTGGAGGAAGAAAGTTTTTCCCCTTGCCTGGCAATAGCTCAGCCAATGAGAAACTGTCAAACTAAGCCAATGAAAAGCTGCTATACTTCAAACTCCCAATTTCCTCCTATGGGCTTTTTGTTTATAACAGCCTGTCCCAACTTCCCCTTTTCCTCTATAAAAGAGCTTCCTTTATAAAAAGTTTTCCTTCCTGCAGAGTTGTGTGTAGCTGGCATTAATTGCTGTCCCATGTTGTAATTCTTTGCTGGTAAAATAATTGGCTATTAAAATTATTTTAGTTTAACAGACTTTTAGGACTGAAATGGAGGCTGCCTTCATCTAATCTTTTGCTTCAATTACAGACAACATTGATTCCACCTGTGTCCAGGCCGAATCAATTCCTAGAAGTGGAATTGCTGGGCCATAGGGTGTGCGCTTTTGTATAACTTGGAGAGCTCCAAATTTTCCTCCATGGAGGCTGTACCAGCTTACACTCCCATCAACAAGAGAGGAGACCACCCATCTTCACATGGCACTGAGGCAGGATATCATCCAACATTTTTGCCCCTCTGAAACATGACAAATCTCACTGCCCCCCAGGACTCCTGTGCCCCTTCTGACCTCTGACCTCTCCTCAACCGGGAGCCCCACCCAGAATCAGAGTGGGGGAGGTTGACATTCCAGGTTGTGGCACATTCCTTGGAGGGGTCTCCAGTTAGCTCCTACCTGCCTCACACCACTAGACCATTCAGGTATAACTTAAATCAAATCCCTTAGAATTATACAATGGAAGTGAGAAATATACTTAAAGGACTAGATCTGATAGAGTGCTTGATGAACTATGGATGGAGGTTCATGACATTGTACAGGAGACAGGGATCAAGACCATCGCCAAGAAAAAGAAATGCAAAAAAGCAAAATGGCTGTCCAAGGAGGCCTTACAAATAGCTGTGAAAAGAAGAAAAGCGAAAAGCAAAGGAGAAGTGGAACGATACACCCATTTGAATGCAGAGTTCCAAAGAATAGCAAGGAAAGATAAGAAAACCTTCCTCAGTGATCAATGCAAAGAAATAGAGGAAAACAACAGAATGGGAAAGACTAGAGATCTCTTCAAGAAAATTAGAGATACCAAGGGAACATTTCATGCAAAGATGNTTATTTAGCTTATATGCAGAGTACATCATGAGAAAAGCTGGGCTGGAAGAAGCACAAGCTGGAATCAAGATTGCCGGGAGAAATGCAGATATGCAGATGACACCACCCTTATGGCAGAAAGTGAAGAAGAACTGAAGAGCCTCTTGATGAAAGTGAGAGGAGAGTGAAAAAGTTGGCTTAAAGCTCAACATTCAGAAAACTAAGATCATGGCATCCGGTCCCATCACTTCATGGCAAATAGATGGGGAAACAGTGGCTGATTTTTTTTTGGGGGGGGGCTCCAAAATCACTGCAGATGGTGATTGCAGCCATGAAATTAAAAGATGCTTACTCCTTGGAAGGAAAGTTATGACCCACCTAGAAAGCATATTAAAAAGCAGAGACATTACTTTGCCAACAAAGGTCCATCTCGTCAAGGCTATGGTTTTTCCAGTAGTCATGTATGGGTGAGAGTTGGAGTATAAAGAAAGCTGAGCGCCAAAGAATTGATGCTTTGAACTGTGGTGTTGGAAAAGACTCTTGAGGGTCCCCTTGGACTGCAAGGAGATCCAACCAGTCCATCCTGAAGGAAATCAGTCCTGAGTGTTCATTGGAAGGTCTGATGCTGAAGCTGAAGCTCCAATACTTTGGCCACCTGATGCGAAGTGCTGACTCATTTGAAAACACCGTGATGCTGGGGAAGATTGATGGCAGGAGGAACAGGGGATGACAGAGGATGAGATGGTTGGATGGCTTCACTGCCTCAGTGGAGATGAGTTTGGGTAAACTCCGGGAGTTGGTGAAGGACAGGGAGGCCTGGCATGCTGTGGTCCATGGGGTCACGAAGAGTTGGACACAACTCAGCGACTGAACTGAACTGAACTGCCTCACACCCACCTCTCTGCACATCTGGAACCAACCTCCCACCTGGGTGGAGCTTCCGCAAGCACTCACGTTACCCAGGAGGGCCACTCAAGCCCGGATGCCTGGTTTGAGCAAGGAGTTGAAAGTGCCTTGGCCTTTGCCAAGGAAGCAGCTGTCCCAAAGCAACACAAGCAAATGGGTAACGTTGGTTACATGTGACTCATAAAACTGGTGTCTTTGAAAATCTGTACGCTGTGCTTCCCCACCACCAGTACTGAGCAAGACAAAGGGCAATCAGGTTCAGAGGGCTCCTTTCACCTGCCAAAAGTAGATACCGATTGATGGATCGTTGCATTGATAACGACATACCATTGCCAGCAACATACCTGGGTTATTTCACAAAACATGATGGTGAGGAAGAAACCAGTCATAAAAGAGTTATAGAGTTACTGTCTGATGCTATTTATATAAAGGACAAAAAGAGGAAACTGAGCTAAGTTGGTTATAGGGTGGTGCCTGGGTTGGGGGTGGGAGGTTGGTAGTGACTAGGAGGGTCACAAGGAAACCTCTGTGGATGATACTGTTCAGTTTGTGAAGGTTTACTGGGTTGTACTCCTGTGACTTGTGTTATTCTGTATGCATTTTATAATAAATAACGTAGAGAAAGAGGTCACTGTTTTGTCCTGGACTAATAATGATGATAATAATAAAAATAATAAAAAATAGCTAACACTTCAGGGCTTACTGTATGACAAACACTGTTCTACATACTTAATACAAGTTCACTTAACTCTTTGTTGCTCTTTAGTCACTAAGTCGTGTCTGACTGTTTGCAACACTATGGATTGTAGCCCACCAGGCTCCTCTTTCCATGGGGTTTCCCAGGCAAGAATACTGGAGTGGGTTGCCATTTCCTCCTCTACCCAGTGATTGAATCCAAGTCTCCTGCATTGGCGGGTGGGTTCCTAACCACTGAGCCCCCAGGGAAGCCTTCACTTAACTCTTAGGAGCACTCTAAGAGATGGGTGCTATAAGGATTCCCATTTCACGGATGATAAGACTGAGGCACACAGCTGAGTGTCAGAACTGGGATGCCCACTCAGTCTGGCTCCCAAGGCCTGACAGGAGAGCTACCAGCTATACATGGAACTTCAATTTGTCCAGCCCATTACAATGTGTCCTGTGAGCACTGGAGCAGAAGGAGAGCTCCATACTCCCATCTCCAGGCTCCAGCCTTCTCCTGGGCCCATCTCTCCCTTCTGTTGATCCAGGTCTGCGCTTGTGTCTCACTCAGCTGGGACTTCCCTGATGGCTGGGACGATGAAAAATCTGCCTACAATGCAGGAGAGCCGGGTTCAAGCCCTGGGTCAGGAAGATGCCCTGGAGAAGGGCATGACAGCCCTGGCAACCCACTCCAGTATTCTTGCCTGGAGAATTCCATGGATGGGGAGCCTGGCGGGCCACAGTCCCTGGGGTCACAAGATGTTGGACACAACTGAGTGACCAGCACAGACCTGGGATGGCAAGGCCGCTTCTGATCCCTTGAGCCTCAGCTCCCTTCCCAAGCTTCATTTCATCCAAACCTCCCCAAACCTTAGGAAGGGGATATGGTCTCATTTCATAGATGGGGAGGTGGCTGAGAGGGTAAGTGGCTTAAGGACATGCAGGCAGTAAGTGAGGAATTGGGGACCCAATTCGAGGGCCCCACCATGCTGCTTCACGGCGCTTCTGCTGGGGTTGGCTCAGACAGGCTTGGTCTCCCCATGCCCCCCACCTCCTGGCTGTGTGGTTTCCAGCAGCCTCCAGGGAAGTCCTCAGACAAACCAGGGGAGAGGGGCGCCACCCCTGCCTCCTCCTTCCCACCCATCCTTCTTCCGCTTTGCTCACAAGGGCTGTGACCACCTCCTCCAACTGTGTGAGTCCTCTTCTGACCCCACACACACTCCCTCCCTCCTCTCCTGGCCTCATCCACCTCACGATAAGCTTCACCTCCTTTGTTTGGGTCTTAACTGGGAGCCTGGTCCTGTGGGAGGTTCCAGATTCTCATTGAATCTTTACCATCCTCTGAGGTCCACCCTATTATTCCAGCCCATTTTAAAGATAAGTAAGCAAAGGTGCAGAAGTGAGGTCAGATGACCTCTAAGGTCACACAGCTGGTCACAGGCAAAGCCAGTGATAAAGGGTAGGATTGGCCCGACTTTCAAACATAGGATGCCGAAGGCCCTCAGATGTAAGTCTCCAGACCAACTGTCTGCAAGGCCCTTGGAGTTGGCCGTGGCCCTCCCGCTCATGCACCCTGTCCTCTGGCAGCCTCCCTGGCCAGCTCACCCTCAGTGCCTGCTTCGCCGCTCTCACCCCCTCTTCCTGGACACCCCACTCCTCCACTGGGATTAATCCCCTTTCTAGAACACACCAAGTGTTTCCGTGTGTGCATACCTAGCCACACGGATTGCTCCTCATGTTCCCAATATGAAAATGTTTTCTCCTGAACTGAAAGTCGAACCACCAACATAAGCTCACTCTTCGAGGCACAAAGTAGTTAAGGCCAAGCTCATCCTTAATGGGCACGGGGTCAATCCATTTTCAAACTTTTCAGAGATCTCTAGGTATTTTCAGGTCAACTTGCTGTTGACTTTCTGTTCGAGCTGATTAACTGGATCACAGCTGCAGTCACAAAGCACCTCTGAGCTGTGGAAGTGTTGGCTCTGCCATTTTCTTCTGATTTATTGGTGTTTGCATTAGTAGTAGTGTCTCCAATCCTTAGCTACTTGGCAGAAAACTTCATGTTGCTTGTCCATTTGTGTGAGTTAATTTAGTTAACATGGAAACTAAACTGGCCAGTCACAAAAGCATGCCCTCTCCCTAGGCGGGGGAGGGGCCGCCCAGCTCCCGGAGTGTGATGTTTCCACTCCTTCCTTGACACCCACTTTTGGTGTAGGATCCTGACCCACAGACTGAAGATCCCGGTGCCAACCCAAGTGTGAAAGAGCAAAGCTTAATTTGTGATGAAAGATAAAGACTTCTTGGACTTCCCTGTGGTTCAGTGGCTAAGACTGCATTCTCAATGCAGGGGGTCCGGGTTTGATTCTTGGTCAGGGAACTAGAGTCCACAGGCCACAACTAACAGTTTGCATGACACAGGTGAAGATCTCACATGCTGACCCAAGAAAAAAGGATAAAGACATCCTGTGCATCAAACTCTCAAGATGTTTTCCCTGATCCTAACAGGGTCAGCACCATCATTAACCCCTTAACTACATGGACGCATAGAAACCTCGCAACAGATCACGAGGGAATACTATTATCACCCTATCTGCCAGGAGAAACTGATGCAGAGCAGGTAAGTAATTTGTCCAAGTGTGACTTGCTGGGGTTGAAGTTACAGTGGTCTCTAGAAGAATAACTCTAGAACTCATGTCCATGAGTTGGTGATGCCATCCAGCCATCTCATCCTCTGTCCCCCTCTTCTCCTGCCCTCAATCTTTCCCAGCATCAGGGTCTTTTCTAATGAATCAGTTCTTCACTTCAGGTGGCCAAAGTACTGGAGCTTCAGCTTCAGCATCAGCCTTTCCAATGAATATTCAGGGTTGATTTCCTTTAGGATTGACTGGTTTAATCTCCTTGCTATCCAAAGATTCTCAAGAGTCTTCTCCAACACCACAATTCAAAAGCATCAATTCTTCCATCTGGGTAAGCCCCTACCATTCCTCCAAGGAGAAACAAGGAAGCTTGAGTGGTCCAAGTTCCCAAATTCAGAGCGCGTCTTTAGTGGGCAGGTACAGAGGGTGCGCCCCGGGGTGTCTGTCCTAGAACCTGGAACTCAGCTCCCCCTCTGTTCCCCGTGCTGATGGCTGTCCTTCCAATAGGCCCTCTCACAACTCAGGCGAGAGGGTCCCGTGACCCAGGGCAGTGCCCTTGCCCCCATGAGGCTCCCGGGGCTCCCTGACTGGCCCCGGCATTTTCACTCACTTCCTGCCAACCACCCTTGGCGCCTCACTCCTTCCACAGTGAGGAGACCACTTCCTTGCGTGCTGCTGGGCCTCCCTGCCCCCCAGCCAACTCCCGGTCACCTCTCCTGTCACAGCTTATGCCTGTTTTTTTGGCTACCCCACAAAATGTGTGATCTTAGTTCCTCAACCAGGGATCAAATCTGTGTCCCTTGCATTGGAAATTCGAGTCTTAACCAGGGAGGTCCCTCTAGTCACAGCTTAATGTCACCTCCCCAGGCACATTTCTCCCAGGCCCCCGGATTTCCCTCATCTTACCACTTCCTGCACTTTTAAGGACCGTGAGCCCCACAAGGGCAGGGGCCACCTTGACTTGGCCACCTCTGAACCTCAAGCACCAAGCATAGAGTAGGTGTTCAATGAAGATGGGTGGCGAACTTCATGGTGGTCCAGTGGTTAAGAATCCGCCTGCCAGTGCTGGAAGACACGGGTTCGATCCCGGGTCCGGCAACGAAGCCTGTGCAGCACAACCACCGAGCCACGCTCTAGAGCCTGCGCTCTGCAACATGAGGCCACTGCAATGAGCCTGCGCTCTGCAACGAGAGAAAGCCCGTGCACAGCAACAAAGAGCCTGTGTGCCTCAACCAACACCCAGCACAGCCAAAAATAGTTTAATTAAAAAAAAAAGATACCAGGTGCATAAAGATGTAGCCCAAGAAGAATCAAGTCCCTGGCTTGTCAAGACCTTAACCTTCAGGCACTGACCCCACCTCGGTGGCACTCCAGAGTCCTTCCCCGAAGTCCAGGAGAAGCCGTGAGGTCAGCATCCTGTGAGCACCTTCCCCTCCTAACAGCAGGTAAAGGCTGGCCAGGGGCGGCCAGGGCCCCCCTGTGGCCCCCCACCCAGGGATCAGTCAGACAGACTCAACTCGGTTAACTGGTTATTGTTTATTCCCAAAGAGAGAAGGCACGTGGTGTTCAGACACAAGCATGTACTGTTCGTGTATCTGATTCCAAATAGCTGAAAAGAACCGACAGATTCTCCTGAGCACCAGCCTGGTCCAGGGGACAGATCCCAGAGGGCAAAGGCAAGGAACCAGCTAACCATCGTTTCTATTTACATGGAAAATCTCTACACAAGTTAAAAAAAAAAAAATTAAAATCTTTGGACCAGCCTGGTGAAGAGGTAATAAGGTGTTTATTAAAAACTTTTTCACCCGGAGGCAATTAACATTTATAATTTAAAACCCAACCCACTACAAAAGGGGAAGGGGGGAAGGGGGGTTCAAAACTGTGCAACATTGACAAAAGGACCAGGAGAGTCAGAGCCCTGGGAGGGGCAGCCCTGGGCCGAGGGGTCCCTCCTCTCCCAGGGCCAGGAGCAGCAGCAGGCTGGACCCTGGGGTGCCCCCAGCCCCTGCACGGCGCGTGCTGGGCTTCCCCAGGTGGGTGGGGCCCCGCAGAGGAGCCCTCAGTAGTGTGATCACTGTGCAGGCTGCACACGCGTCCCGTTCACTCCGCTGCGGGAGACAGACAGAGAGGAACACCAGGGTGTGAGCCCAGACACGGAGGCTTTCCAGCAAGTGGGGGCACGTGCTAAGGCTGGGGTGAGCCCAGGGGTCGCGGGGAGCGGGGACGGGGCCTCCTCCTCCTCCCACCCCCGCCAAGCCCGCAGCAGCGCCCAGAGCCCCTACCTCCCCCGTTGCTGAGGCTGTACCCCACGGCCACGCGCTGAGAACGCCAATCGCCACAGCTCCTGCGTGGGCAAAGTCGGGGCTGTCACTGTCCACAGGACTCTGGACGAGGACCCTCATGCCCACAGCTCTCCTGGCACCTGGGGCCCGCCCCGGCGAGCCGGACAGTGACTCACCCTCGGTCTCCCTCCAGCGTGCTCTGGATCTCCTTCAGAACCCCTGCAGGGCAGAGGCGGGAGCGGAGGCCTGGTGAGGCCAGCACAGGTGGGCCTCTCCCCTCCTCCTACCGACCTGCCCTCTTCCGGAAACCAGCCCGCGTCTCCACCCTGGCCTTCCAGGTACCCCCATCCCCGCCCCACCCCGAACTTCCCTCCTGCCAGCCCCCCAACTCCTGCCCCGACTCACTCTCGTCATTGAGCAGAGCGTGCTCCATCACAGGGCCCGACCTCCGAGCTGAAAGGCAGGGGCCAGGCCACGTGAGCCATGGACCCCCTGCTGCCCCGGCCCCCTCTGCGGGGGCGGGGGTGCCGGAGCCGGAGCCCAGGACCGCAAGGGAAGCTGTGTGACCCCCAGCCCGAACGCCGCCTGACCACCTGGGCTCCCCGACCCTCCCCAGCGGCCCTCGTCGCACTCTGCCCCAGAGTCCCGCCTTACCCTCTCCATCACTCTGGCTGCCTGAGTTCCTGTGGGGAAGAGACCATAAGGATCAGGGGCCACGGGGCTTCCCATTCTGGCTGGGAAAGGGTGGGTGGGGGTGCTGGCTGAGTTTTGGGGGAAAGGGACTCTGAGCAGCCCCAGAGCGGGCACCCCAGGGAAGGCGGGGCGAGGAGCGGCTGGAGCAAAGGCCACCTGCCCTTCCACCCACCTGCCTAGGCCCAAGGATTTCTCGGGGCCTGACCTGTTGTGTGGGCGGCTGCGGTTCTTTGATTCTGCTGAATCCACCAGACATCGGGAAGGAACACCAGGGTGTGAGCCCAGACACGGAGGCTTTCCAGCAAGTGGGGGCACGTGCTAAGGCTGGGGTGAGCCCAGGGGTCGCGGGGAGCGGGGACGGGGCCTCCTCCTCCTCCCACCCCCGCCAAGCCCGCAGCAGCGCCCAGAGCCCCTACCTCCCCCGTTGCTGAGGCTGTACCCCACGGCCACGCGCTGAGAACGCCAATCGCCACAGCTCCTGCGTGGGCAAAGTCGGGGCTGTCACTGTCCACAGGACTCTGGACGAGGACCCTCATGCCCACAGCTCTCCTGGCACCTGGGGCCCGCCCCGGCGAGCCGGACAGTGACTCACCCTCGGTCTCCCTCCAGCGTGCTCTGGATCTCCTTCAGAACCCCTGCAGGGCAGAGGCGGGAGCGGAGGCCTGGTGAGGCCAGCACAGGTGGGCCTCTCCCCTCCTCCTACCGACCTGCCCTCTTCCGGAAACCAGCCCGCGTCTCCACCCTGGCCTTCCAGGTACCCCCATCCCCGCCCCACCCCGAACTTCCCTCCTGCCAGCCCCCCAACTCCTGCCCCGACTCACTCTCGTCATTGAGCAGAGCGTGCTCCATCACAGGGCCCGACCTCCGAGCTGAAAGGCAGGGGCCAGGCCACGTGAGCCATGGACCCCCTGCTGCCCCGGCCCCCTCTGCGGGGGCGGGGGTGCCAGAGCCGGAGCCCAGGACCGCAAGGGAAGCTGTGTGACCCCCAGCCCGAACGCCGCCTGACCACCTGGGCTCCCCGACCCTCCCCAGCGGCCCTCGTCGCACTCTGCCCCAGAGTCCCGCCTTACCCTCTCCATCACTCTGGCTGCCTGAGTTCCTGTGGGGAAGAGACCATAAGGATCAGGGGCCACGGGGCTTCCCATTCTGGCTGGGAAAGGGTGGGTGGGGGTGCTGGCTGAGTTTTGGGGGAAAGGGACTCTGAGCAGCCCCAGAGCGGGCACCCCAGGGAAGGCGGGGCGAGGAGCGGCTGGAGCAAAGGCCACCTGCCCTTCCACCCACCTGCCTAGGCCCAAGGATTTCTCGGGGCCTGACCTGTTGTGTGGGCGGCTGCAGTTCTTTGATTCTGCTGAATCCACCAGACATCGGGGCTCAACCAGCCACTTGGTGGAAAGAGAGAAGCGCTCAAACTCGGAGGGTGAGATCAGATAGAAACCTGGCGGTGGGGTGGAGAAGGCTGGCAGGTGAGGGCAGCCCGAGCTGGCCCTGTGGCTGCCAACAGCACTGCACTACCCACCCCTGGTCCCCACCTTGGGGGTCATTAGCGACCAGAGCCTCCGAAAATTCTCTGCCTAAGGATCCTGGCTTTGGCCGAAATACCCCACGCTGTCCTTCCCAGCAGCACCCGCGATGCAGTGGGAGCCCCAAACCCGGCCCAGGGGGGCAGAGGCCCCGCCGGGCCCGCCCCCCGCACACCTTGGCCGTATTTGGTGAAGACGCACGAGGCGATGCCGCTGACGTCCTCCCGGCGGATGCAGCTGTACCGCACCTGGGGCTTGAGCAGGGGCAGCGAGATCACCTGGACGTCGCCCAGGTTGGTGAGGACGGCCAGGTGATGCTCCCCATAGTCCTCGGCTCGACAGCTGCCGAAGCGGGCCGCGCTGACCCGCCGCACCCGCGAGCCCTCCAGGGCGGTCAGCTTCAGCTTCAGCCGGGCACTGACCTTGGGTAGCGTGAACACCTAGGGCGCAGGGCAGCCGGTCACGCTGGCGGCCGGACCAGGAGGCAGTGCTTCATCCAGCCCAGCGAGGCCTTCTCGCGTCCCTGCCCGGTGCCGCTGCTGGGCGTGACCCTCTGCCGCCTGCCCAGCTTCCCGGCGAAGCCCGCGAAGCCCCAGTGCGCCCGCCCTCGGCGCTCAGACGTGTGGTTACTGCGCTTGCACTTCGAGGATGCCAGGGTCTCTTAGTTCCCTGTCTGCATCTTCTGTCCCTTCCACAGACACAAGTCCTGCTTCAGTGCTCCTACCACTGACCCTGGGGACTCCACCAAGACCCCCGCTTCTCTCCGGTGCCTCCGCAGCCCTCACACAACTACAAACACAGCTTTAAGGGAGTCCCAGCGGTTGTCCTTCGCGGAGGGGTCCCTGGGGGCCCCGCCTTCTCCCGTAAGGCACCTTGAACTGCTCCTCTGACACGACGAGCAGCTGGTGGCTCCCCTGCATGTCCGGGCTCTTTGACAGGTCGTGGGCCACTTCCAGGGGCTCGGGAAGGGGCACGCTGTGTCCGTCCAGCACCAAGATGCCCACGACGGGCGCTCGGTGCATCAGCTGGATCTCCTTGGCTGTGGGACGGAGGGAGGCGGCGGGGATGGAGGTGAGGTTGGAGATGCCACCCTGCCCCCGGCCTAGGCAGACAAGCACCCTCCCCCTGCCCAGCACTCACCCTGCTCCGCCCGCACTGGCTCATCCATTCTCCGCTCGGCAGGGGGCACGCGCAGGGCAAAGGCATAGACGGTGCCGCCGTTGGTGCCAGCCCACAGCGAGGGGCAGTGGCGGGAACCTGCCAGGAGGCCGAGGTTTACATTTAACCCCTGACTCTGGGGCTCAGGGGGAACCAGGAGACCTGGCTCACTACCTGTGTGACTCCAAGGTAAAGGCAGTGAACTTCACTTTCTTCCTCTGTGAAATGGAGCTGCTGTGGGCCCTGCCTACGTCCTGCTGTAGACAGGAAGGGCCTGCAAGGCTCCCTGACAACCAAGGGCCCCGTGCAGATGATCCCAAGCCCAGGATGGCTCAGCCCTCAAGATTACAGCAGCAAACAGCCCTCGGCCCACCCTTACCCTGGCAGGAAAAGAGACACAGTCAGACAGCTTCCAGAGGGCCTCCTGGGTACCAGCAGGCATGTGGCATGTCCCAATGCATGCAACCACTCTAGGAGGAAGCCACGCCCCCATTTTACAGGGGGAGAAGCAAGACCCAGAAAGGCTAAGTGACACATCCAAGGTCACACTTCTAGAGTGTGGTGGGGCCTGGGTATGAAGCCAGGGCGATCAGACTCAGAGACCCAGGCCGCGGAAAGAGGCAGGCGCGGGGGCTCCAGCTCTCCCCGAGCTCAGGAAGCAGCAACCCTCTTAAGGGCAAATCAGCCAGCAGCTTCCAACACACCCTCAAGCCAGAGGATGCCTGCCCGGGCCCCCCCATTTCAGACCAGCCACTCACTGTCCCTCAGGTAGGTGTCGGCGAAGTAGAGGGTCCGGACGAAACCCGTGAAGGAGTCCTCTGCTGACCGCGCCTCGATCTTGCGCTGAACGGGCGCCAGCTCCATGTTCTGCAGTCCGGTCCGCTCTGCCCTGCTGCTCCCCTCCTGCACCTGCGGCGGGTGGGTGCGGCCTGAGGGTGGGTGCGGGGGGAGGGCATCGGACTGCTCCACGCTTCCCTTCAGGGAGGACCAGCCACCGCGCCCCCTGCCATCCGCCTGGTCTCAGAGACCGAGGACATGACCCCAAGGTGTTACAGAGACTGCCATTCACACTTGGGGACAGAGAGGAACAGAGGCAGAGCGATAGATCCGAGGTCACGGGGTCGGGCGGGGGGAGACGAGCCGGAGCCTGCAGCCTAAGCAAGCACGGCTGGCCCTGGCCTCACCTCTCCCGGAGGGCCAGCGGGCCGCCGCTTCCTGCTGGACGCCCGGCTGCGGCGGATCCGGCGGAAGGACTGGCGCAGGGACTTCTTCAGGGATTTCACGCGGGACAGCGGGCCCTCCAAGGCGAGCTGGTCGCTGGGGTGCAGCGTGCACCTGGGGGCGGGGGGACGCAGGGCCGTCAGCACCGTCACACTCTGAGGGACACCCTGCTGGTTCAGGCGCCGATCCCAGACCTGGGCCCTGGCCTCCCTGGGTGGGCTGCTCACTTGACAAAGACCTGCCGCCGCTGCTGGTGGTCAAAGAGGCCGAAGCCGTGGCTGGTGCCGAAGGCCACGAGCCGCCACTCGGAGTGCAGGGCCAAGGAGGTGACCACGGCCGGGGGCTGGCACTGCACCAGCACGAAGGGCTGGAAGCCGGGCTCGAAGTGCACAGGCCCCGGGCGGGCACACAGCCGCTCGTGGCCCTTCCAGCGGTAGCCCTCCTGGTCCCGCAGCAGGTCGGCCTCCACCTGCTCCACCGCGTGCTCCGCCTCCTCGTCGTTCAGCTCCAGCACGAGCACCTGGGTGGGCGGCAGATGGGCTGAGCCACCCTGGCTCCAAGGGACAGCTGGGCGCCGGGGCCCCAATGGCAGAGGACCCAAGACACACGCCAAGGCCCAGGGTCACAAGTGCCCAACCTCTGGTCCTTAATTCTGGCTTCTGGAGGAGAAGTCGCCATCCCAAAGGCCTCCCTCTAATGGGATCTGGGAACTCCTATTCACTGGGAAAAGTCAAGGGCAGGTGACGCTCCTGGTGACACCATCAGTGGGCGCTCAGGAGGCTAGCTCCTGGCCCTGAGTGTGCATGCTATATCACTTCAGTTGTATCCAACTCTTTAGACCCCATGGACTGCAGCCCGCCAAGCTCCTTTGTCCATGGGGATTTTCCAGGCAAGAGTACTGGAGTGGGGTTGCCATGCCCTCCTCCAAGGCGTCTTCCTGATCCAGGGATCGAACCTGGTCTCTTATGTCTCCTGCATGGGCAGGCGGGTGCTTTACCACTGAGCCACCTGGGAAGCCCAGGCTCCTGGCCCTGCTGTTCCCAACCCCCCTGCACAATACTGAGAAGGAAGCTCCTGGCCCTGGACACTGCCCTGCGTCTTCTGACCACCCCTCCCCGCTGCTCCCCACACCCAGCCTGGGATGCTACCTGCCCTGCTGTGCCAGCCACAGCCAGGTAGCCGCTGTATTTGCAGAGGAAAATCTTCTGGATGCCCAGCCGGGGATCGTCACTATAAGGGTCAAAGGAGCCCACCTGCCGAGGGAGAGGAGGCCCGTGAGTGGCCGTCAGCTCTGGGCCTGGCCCGCCCCCAGCCTCCCTGGTGCACAGGCTCCGGGCCTCACCTTGCGGAGGGGTGGCCACTCTTCCTCGCCCTGGGCACTGAGGCTCTCGTTGGGGTCTGTGTCAGTGAGGAACACCCGCACGGTGCTAAGCTTATAGAGCAGCCGCAGGCAGACGCCTGAGGCGTCCCAGAACCGCACCGTGCCGTCCTCATGCCTGTGGGTGGAACCGGCCTGCCGCCAGTCAGAGGGCTGCCGGGCCGGCACGCAGCCCTCTGGGCTCTGCTCCCACCCCGCATATCCCACTCGGCAGGAGGAGAGCGCCATCGGCGTCACCTACCCCGTGAGCAGCAGGTCCCTCTGCGGCGGGGCCGGGGCCAGGCTGGTGCCGCCGTCAATGGGCCACTCCTGGAGGAGATGATGAAGTTCACGGGTGGGGTGGGGTGGGGCGGAGCCTATGGCGGGGCGGGGCTGGCCCTGGGGGCGGGGCCTGAGGCAGGGCGGGGCCGGGCCATACCTACCATGGGGGAGAAGTGTGTGCTCTGCCGGCTGCCAGCTGCTATGATGCGTTCCCACAGTTTCAGCGGGATGTTGGAGACATGGTGGGAGCAGGTGATGGCAGAGCAGTGTAGGGAGGCCAGGTAGGGAGGCTGGACTGGCGGCCAACCAGCCGTCTGTAGGTCAATCACCACCAGCTCCTCCTCGGCCAGCACAACTAGGGCATAGGGGTCATCGAAGGCTGTGGGGACAGGCCAAGGATCAGGGGCTGCAGGAGCCACAAGGAAGCAGTGTGCCCGGCCCGGCCCGGCCCTGTGGAATCAGGCTCAGGGGCTGTAGCCAGGGAATCTGCATTTTACAAACAGCTCAGGGAATTCCTTGGTGATCCAGTGGCTAAGACTCCATGCTCCCAAGACGGGGAGCCTGGGTTCAATCCCTGACCAGGGATTGAACTAAATCCTGCATGTCGCATCTAAGGATCCTGCATGCCACAACTAAGACTGAGCACAGAAAAATACATAAATTTAAATAAATATTTAAAAATAATAAATTATTTAAAACAGGCTCCAAATCCAACAATGCATAAAAAGAACTATATGCCACGACTAAGTGGGATTCATCCCAGGTATGCAAAATATCCCAGGTATATCAATATTTGAAAATCAATTAATGTAATGTATTGTGTCAACAGGCTAAAAAAGGAAAATCACATGAGTATAACACTGGGTACAGAGAAAGTGTTTGGCAAAACCCAATACCCATTTATGGTTAAAAAAAAAAACCAAACAATTCTCAGTAAAGAGAAAAATAGAGGGGACTTCCTCAACTTGATGAAGAATATCTAGGAAAAAACATACAGTGGATGTAATAATCGATGGTGAGAAACCTGAAGCTTTCCCACTGAGATCAGGAACAAGGCAAGAAAGCCTCCTCTCACCACTACTAGTCAAGCACTAGCTAACGCAGTAGGACAAGAAAAGGAAATAAAAGCTATGCAGATTGGGAAGGAAGGAAAACTGGTTTTGTTCACAGATCATCAGTGTAGGAAATCTAAAAGAACTGACCCAAAACTGGCCCTGGCTGCCAGCACGCTGTCAGATGTGAGGATGGAAGGGGCTGAGAAAAAGAGGAAAAGCAGGTTCACAGTCTCCCTCCAAAGGGCTGCCAGCCAGGCCTGGAGAGAACAGCCCAGGGCAACCGGAGCCATCCTGCACCCACCCTCACCCGGAGGCCTCGGGCCTGTTAGGTCAGAGCTGTCCGGGGAGGAGTCATCAGGAGATCTCCCGCCAGGCCTCCACTCCAAATTTCGACACCGGCCCTTTCTGGTCTTGCTTGTCACCCAATTTAGGAAGCTGACTCAGCGCCCTGCTGGCCTGGCTGAGCTCCAGGAGGCCAGCTCAAATGGTCCCATACTGCTGTCTGCCCCACCCCACAAGGAGGGCTTCACTATATCCAAGTGAGTGTTAAACCCAATAGTGCAGATCTGGCCCCCTTTGGGCTAAGTCCCAGGTGAGCCACTGAAGGGCAAAGAGAGCTTTAGGGTGGGCGGGAGGTGTGGCCAGCAAGGACAAGCCTCAGGCTAGCAGGGAAGGAAAGGAAGCAGCCCTCCAGGCACTAAGAAAAGGCCCGGTGGGGCTGAGGGACTCAGGGATGGCAGCGGTGGGGTCACCTGCAGGCCCTTCCTCTTTGTCTACAGGTAGGGGCCCGCCCTTCACACCCACTCCTGCCTGCCTACCAGCTGCAGGGTCCACCTGGACGAGGACAGTGAAATCAATGACGCGGGAGGTGAAGTCGAAGGCTGTCTGCTGGCCGTTGTGGACCACGGAGATGCAGTGGCGGTCCCCGTAGCTGGCCCGCGGCATGCCGCCCTGGAAGATGGTGAAGGGCAACCTGGCAGGCACGGAAGAGCAGGGGTGGGCTGGGGCTCACCTTGCGGGCTGAGTCAGCCGAGGGACAGTCCTGTGACTGGCCTCCAGGGCAGGGCTTGGGAGGGTGGCCTATTTCAGGGTGAGTGTGCACTCAAGGTTCCCAGGAGGCACTGGGGCAGACCCCTATCTTGTGTCAACTCAGTAGCCCAGGAGAACGTGGGGGTGAGCAGCAGGGCACGCAGGCTGTGGGCTGAGTCTCTGCCACCACGCCCAATTCAATCAGACCCCATCACCCTTTTCTGCTTCTGTATCAAGTTTCCCTGTATGATTCTGTTTGGTAAGACAGAGTTTGGAACCTGCTGATCTGAATTCTCTCTCCAGGAGGGTGAAAGGGAAAGAAAGGGAATATTTTTTTTTCAGGAATTTGCCAGAGAGAGGTATGAATGGCCCCCTCTCTGTTGCCTGGAGACCCAGATGTGGGACCCAAAGACATCCTTTACGCACCATCTCCCCCAGGGAGAAGCCTGAGCAGCCTATTTGGCTCCCCAGGAAGACTCTAGAAAGGGAACAGGACAGAGCCCTGACACCTACCCCTGCTTGGTGGTCAGCCAGAAGATTTTGGTAATAGCTTTGCAAGGAAAAGGACCTAAAAGAGAAGGAATAAGCTTGAACGCTCTTCCTGCTTTCAGAGGCCTGTTGGCCGTAGCACAGACCCCTGCACACCCATGGAGCGGATCTAGGCTTGGGAGTCTTGCCCGGAGCAGTTCCCACAGAAAGCCACACGGTGGGCATCAGAAAACCCGCCGTGTGGCTGTTAACATTGCCTTCACCCTCTCCGGGCCCCAGCTTTTGCTCCTCTGAGTTGGGCACCTACACCTGGAAAGCAGGAGATCAGCTGGGGACTGGAGAGGACACTGCCCCGCTCACTGGCGGGCGGCCCCCGGCGGCGGGCAGAGCACTGACCGTAAGGCACGCAGCTGCGCACAGGCTCCGGCTGCGGGGCGTCGGGGGACATGCGCCATTGGCAGTAGCTGCCGTCAGAATGGCAGCTGACGATCAGACGGCTGTCCCGCTGCCAGCAGACGTTTTCCAGTTGCTTCACGCAGGGAGAAGAGAAACAGCATGCGTGGGCTGGGGTCGGGGGGCGGTCCCATCGCCTGCACCCCCCTGCCTCAGACAGGGGCTGGATGTGTCAGGTGGGGGGCGGGGAGAACCAGGCGGCACCCCTACCTGGCTGCTGAGGAAATGAGCGAGCACGCGGCTGCCCTGCAGGTCCCAGATGACTACGAGACCCCGGCTGTAGCCGATGAGGATCTGGCTGGGGTCCCGGGGGTGTTCCTGCAGAGCCTCCACCATCTCAAACGCCCGCCGGTGGCGGGCCTCCTCTGGCAACCTGAGCGAGGGAACACTGTGAGCCAGGTCACCGGCCACCGACGCGGCACGGCTGAGCGCGTGGCCACCGTTAACTACATCCACAGCACCCGCAAAGCAGCGGGAGCTGAATGTGCCAAGCATGCAAAGGCTGCTAGGACGCATCGTCAAGGGGAGACAGAAGTAATGCGTAGAGAAGGACAATAATGCACAAAGATGGAGAAAACCCCCCAAGGATGCAGACACAGGGGGTACACCACCACAAGGAAAGGCAAGGAAGTGATTTCTAGGAAAGTCCATGTGGTGGTTACCTCTGGGGGAGGGAGGGAGCTATGACTGAGAGGGGCAGGAGGGGGACCCTCTGTGGAGGGGCCGGGGCTGGCAAAGTTCTATCTTTGCCCAGAGCTGGCTGCATGGACACTCGCTTAACAAGAATCTGTTAAACCGTACATTCACATTTACTGCACGTCTGTAAGGCACTGGCATTTCATAAAAATAGTTTTTAAGCCCCACAAAACAAAACTGTTATCAGCTGTCATGGCCTTGAGCCCCGCCTCCTTTTCTGAGCCTGGAATGCTGATGTGAAGTCTGGACGTGCTGCAGCCAACAGAAGCCTATGAGGCGGCAGGCACGGGATCAAGAGCCAACACCAAGGATGAAACGGAAACAGCCTGAATCCTGACAGCATGTCTATGCTCAAACCCAAATCTAACTCGCTATGTTTAAAACAAGGATTCAGACTCACGGGAGGGGTTCCCAGGGCACTCAGGCTAGGAAAGCCCGGCGAGGGCTCCTCCCTGACCCACTACATGCTCATCGGTGTGGGTGAGGTGGGCGCTGGCTTGGCCACAATGAGGAGCAGGTCCTTCCGCTGTCCTGCTGCAGGCCAGGTGGCCCTGTTGAGCACCAGCCGTGCCTGGCCCCCTGCAAACAGTCCTGCTCCAACCACAGTCACACTGCCCAGTGCTCAGAGGGACCCAGCCGCAAGCAGGAATCTTCCCAGCCCAGCAACACCCAGCTCGGCTTGACCATCACCTGGGGCCTGGTGACTATGAGTATGACAGGCCTGGGCTGGAGCCCTGAGGAAGCTCGAGCCCGAAGGGGCTACATGTCCCAGCCCTGCAGTCTCCGCGGGCTCCTGCTGCACTCCTCCACTGCTTCCCTTTGGGCCCTGGCACCCCCTCCCCACCCCCAGACCTGATCTGAACTCCTTTCTACCACAGACACCACCATCCAAGAGCAAAGATTCTGAAATGGTCTCAAGAATCCTACAGGTCACGGCTGTCAGGCGTTTGGAACCTGCCTGAGAGCGAACAAGTAGCCGAGACTCCAAAACACAAGCGTCAGCAGAAGCTGCCCAGCTGACCAGGAAGGCCTGGGCCTTGTCTGCCCTGCGGCAGAGCCCCGGGCTTTGAAAGGGGCAGCACCAGTGCCAGGAACGCTGGGTTAGGAGCAGTATCACTACATGGTCATGGTGAGCCTCCTTTTCCTCCCCTTTAAATGGGACGACAAGTTGCTCCCAAGACCCTTTTTGGTGCTGGCATGCTAATACTTTTGAGGGCAAGATGCTTAGTTTGGGGGGCGCTGAGAGTCTGCCCTCCTATTCCTACAGACTTCCCAGGAGAGAAACGATAAGCTCCCGAGGCATCACCGGGCCGCGTCCACCCCGAGGGGCCCGGGGCTCACCGCTGCAGCACAGTGTCCGAGCTGATGGCCCGGTCCTCCAGCGCGCGGAAGGCTGGCAGCTGCACTGCAAACACGTTGCCACTTTCGGTGCCCAGGTAGAGCAGCTGGCGGGAGGAGTGTGGCAGGACCACGGTGATTTGCGTGGCGCTGGGGGCAGCCCTGTGGAAGGGAAGGACGGCCTGTGAGCTGGCTGCTGCCCAGGCAAAGGGGGACCCATGGCAGGACGGCACTAATCCACCGACTCCCTCTGCGGCCCCAGGGAAGCCCAGGCCCGGGGGGCCCTTTAATGGTGTCCATAGCGACTCAGACTGGGTAAACATATTGACTCTTTTCTGCCAAGGCCGGAGACTTATGGCAAAGAGCTGGGGCTCAGAGGGGATGGGAGGAGGCAGCCCGCAGCCAGGCCCGCTTCCTGGCTGGGGGCGCCACCAGTTCTCACCCCGGGGGGCCACGCAGCGTGAACGCCTCATCTTCCTGCAGCTCCGACACCCCGCCTTTGACCTTCAGGCTCCACAGGTGCAGGCTATTGTCGTCCAGCAGGGTGACCAGCTGGCACTGGGGAGGGAACGGGGTGGGAGCGGCCAGCCTCGTTAACCAGGGCAGGGCAGCGTTCCCCATGGCCTCGACACACCAGGGCTGCCCAGGGTGTCATTTCAGAGATGTGGGTCATTTCAGAGTGCCCCGGCGGCTGCTAGGGTGGCCATGAACTGCGGCTGGGGAAAGGCAGGTTTGTTCCGGGTCCTTTCATCAGCACCAAACCCAATAACAAGGGCATGGGGTAGGCTTACCTGGCCAGGCAGGAAGTGGATCTGCACCACGGTGTTATTCTCGCGGTGCAGGCCCATGAACTCCACCCCTGGGGCACCATAGCTAGGAGGAGAGGGCTCAGGATAACAGCTCCAGAAGGCAGGACCCCTCCCCACCCCCGGCCCGCAACTATGCAGCAGAGAAGGGCTCCCTCCCTCCCCCAGGCAGCGGGACCCCTCTGTGTGGGGGGGGTCGGGTGGGGTGGGATTACGGTGGGGAGGAGGCAGCAGTAGGCCAGCCTGAGGACAAGGTCCAGGAACCTGACCCCCGAGGGGGAAGCCAGCCAATCAGGGAGGGCTGTCGCAGTCAGGCCAGCAGGGCTGACTCCTAAGAAGGGTGAAGTCTTATCTTGGCAACTGTCAGCCTGCCCACTGCAGCCCCCGGCCTCCCCGAGCCCCAAAACCTGAGCTGTAGGAGGTCATCAGCTACTGCATGGTGACACCCGTGAGGAGACACACAGCAGGCGCCTGTGGGCCCACCCACGGCAACTGGGGAGCGCCAGTCTTAGCACTGAGAGCTGTAACCAGGATATGGCTGTGGGCCGGCAATGATTAACCAGCCGAGGGAGGGCTGAGCCCTGCGGAACCTGGGCCTCTGCCCCCCTGTGCATACACCACCCACCGCCTAGCTCCCTACCCCCATCCAGCAGCGGAGGAGCAGGAGGAAGCTACAGCTTCGCCTGAGGAGGTGCCGGCTGGGCCCTCCCCGGGTGACCCCCCGCCCCCACCTCCCAGTCCCCCTGGGTCCCACCCTGGGGGCTCAGGTCAGACCCAGGAGTGGGACTCCCAGACTTGTAGCCCAGCCCAGGCCAGACAATCTGAGCAGCGATCCCCCGTCCTGGCTTCTGAAATAGACCCACTGGACCATGTCGACCCTCAGGCCAGGGAAAGACTGTCCCTGCCAATGTGCGTCTGTGTGTGTGTAGACTGTCCCTGCCAATGTGCGTCTGTGTGTGTGTATGAGGGAGTGCACATGATCAGGCGTAGAAACTGGAAGAGCAGCTGCCTTAGCACGGCTTCTCTGACCCTAGGCCACCCTGTCTCTGGTTTGGACAGAGCCCTGGGGCCAGTCGACTGATTCTTCCGGGGTGGGGGTGGGGAAAGGAAACCCGCCACAGCACCACTGCCCGGCCATCCCTGGCCTGCACCTGCTGCATTCAGGGCTGACTCCTAAGAGGGTACTGGAACGTACTGGGAACGAGAGGAGTCATCTGCAACTTGTTTTCATGTGGACAGTGGAGGAGTCTTTTCTCGAATCTCACCAATGCCAAGGCCCCCAGCCCTTCCGGGGCCTCCCTTGGTGGGAGCCGGGAGGACAGAAAGGATACAGCTTGACAGCCCCAGAGCGGGTGCCGATGGCCAGGATGCGCAGGGAGGGGCTGTAGCCGAGGGCGCTGGGCTGGTGGGGGAAGCCATGCTCCACCGTCTGCAACGAGAACCAGGCATGTACGGGCCTGCAGACATGTCCCCTCTTCCCCTCCACGGCTGGGGGCAGGGGTCAGCGCCGGAGGGCGGAGCTGCAGGACAGAGCCACCCATAGCAGGAAGGAGGAATTCAATTGCACCCGGGTCCCTAGCTGGACCCACCTGGGCCACACCCTCCATCCATTCCTGACCTGGTCCTTGGTCACGTGGCCCTCCCTGGGAGCTCATTCTCCCCAGACTCCACGGGAGCCCCCTGCTCTCCAGGAACTCTGACATGGCTCCTCCACCGCCCGTACTGTGGGGAGCCCACCCAGCCCTCCTGCCCGGGTGCGGGGCAAGACTGCAGGGCCGGCACAGGGGAGGTACGAGGCGGTTCAGGAAGCCCAGCTGCGTCACAGCTCCAGGTGGGCGCATGGGGTCTAACAGAACCCACAGCCACCCTTCCTGACTCTGGGCCACCCAAGGCTCCTCCAGGGCTGAAACCCTGCCACTGTGAGCTCTCTTCACCATCTTTCCATGGAGGAAGCTTCTCGAGTGCTTGTCACAGACACATGCCTTTGCTCACTTCTCTTTCTAGAAGTAATACATGTGGGAGAAAACCTGGAACATACAAAGGAGCTTGAGAAAAGGAACAAAAGTCACCCACACTCTCACGACCATAGAAACCCTTGCTTGCAAGGGCATAGGTGTGTGGCTCTATACTTGCAGATAGCGACCTCAGAGGAAGGCAAACACTCTATGTTGTCACTTATACATGGAATCTAAAAAAATACAACCAACTAGCAAATATAACCAAAAGAAGTAGACTCACAGATGTCGAGAACAAACTAGTGGCTACCTGTGGGAAAGGGTCAGGAAGGGCATACAAAGGTGGGGAGTGTGAGGTACAGATTACTGAGTCTAAGATAGGCTCAAGGATGTATCATACAACACAAAGAATAGAGCCAACACTTTCCCTGAGAGCTCAGTTGGTAAAGAATCTGCCTGTAATGCAGGAGACCCCAGTTTGAGTCCTGGGTCGGGAAGATCTGCTGGAGTAGGAATAGGCCACCCACTCCAGTATTCTTGGGCTTCCCTTGGGGATCAGGAGACCTGGGTTGGGAAGAGCCCCTTGAGAAGGGAAAGTATTCTGGCCTGGAGAATTCCATGGACTGTATAGTCCAAAGAGTAGGACACAACTGGGCAACTTTAATACTTCGTAATAACTGTAAATGGAAGTAACCGTTCTAAAAAAATTTTTTTTAATTTTGGGATTTCCATGGAGGTCCAGTGGTTACGATGCTGTAGTTCCACTTCAGGGGATACAGGGTTGATCCCTGGTCGGGGAATACATATATATACATATACATTTAAAAAATTTTTTAATAAAAATATAAATAAAGTATAAATTAAAAAAACAAACAAAAAAGCAGAGACTTAGGTGGGATCACACCACATGGATATATGTACACACATATAGCTCTGTATTCGGTCTTCCTACCTATAACCAGCCCAGGCTGTTCAAAGCACCAAAATGACTTTTTAAAAAATTATTATTTTATATTTTTGCTGCACTTTTCAGCTTGTGGGATCTTAGTTTCTCAACCATGGATTGAACCCAGGCCATGGCAGTGCCAAGTCCCAAATACTAGACCACCACAGAACTCCCTAAAATGACTTGTAAATGGCTGAAGAATAGTCTTCAGGGGGAGGTACCCTAACTCACTAGGCCTCTCTTATTGAGTATTTACTTTGTTATCTGAGGTTTTGCAACTGACGGTTACACTGATGACCATTCTTGCTCTCTTATCTCTGCCTATAACTAAGAATTTCCTTAGGCAGATGTCCTGGGGTGGAATTACAGGTTAAAAAGGTATGGATGTAAGCAGTAGGACTGAGATTGACAACCATCTTCAGGAGGATTTTCACTGGTTTCTTAGTCGGCATACCTCAACCCCTGGCCCCCACCCCAGGGGATACTGAACCCGTAGAGCTAGATTAGAGTGGGACACAGGACATCAGCCAGCAACTTTGAAGATTTTTTTCTTTTAAGCCATGGAGACGGTCCTGCAGAAAAAGGCTTCCCCAGTGAGGCAGCTCTCTGTAGGCCCAAGGCTCTGCTCTGGGCTTCACTTGGCCTCCAAGGAGCAGAGAGAGATAAGTCCTGGTGACAGCTGGGGCGATAGCTTAGCAAACCCAACTGCTGCCTGCCTGCCTGCCCTGGCCAGTGGATCCAGGAAGGAGGCCCTGTGCTGGGGTCGACCAGGGGACGAGAGCTCCAAAGAGTGGCTATTCTGGGGTGCATAGGTGTGGGCCCCCGCAGGCCTGGTTCTCTGCCAGGGACACAGTCTGCCCTCTAAGTGGCTGTACCTGGAAGGGGGCAGCAGTGGGCCGGCAGGAACCCCCCCAACCCGCTCCAGACCAGGTTCCTGTTCAGCTATGCAAAAAATGCAGAGCCTTGAAAAGCCTTGGGGAGATAGCAGGGTATCTGGAATGTAAACATTTCCCAGGAAAAGGAGGCTGATGCGGTGTGTGGGACAAGCTGCCCCAGGAGCCCCCCTCGGCCGGCCCCAGGTTGCTGGGGCCTCCCTGGGCTGACAGCATGTTCCCATCACCACCAGCAGCAGCAGCTCAAGGCCAAAGCCTCTGGAATCTGGAGGACGGTGGAGGAAACAGCCAGCAGGAGCCTGGGGGGCCCAAGCCTTGATGCCCTGTAAGACACCCACAGGCCACGAGGAGATCCTGCGCCCTCGAAATGTGGCTACTGCCGCTAGGGAACTGAGCTTCTAATTGCATTTAACTTAAATTCAAGCATGGGCCTTCACAATTCAGTAATTAGAAAACTTTACAGGTTATGTTCTTGGGTTCCAGAGCAACAGGGGCTGGAGTCAGGCGCACCAGAGCCTTGAATTTCCTTTTTCAACTTCCAAATGCTAAATATAGATCATGTATTCCAAAAGAAAATATAATGGCCAAATTGAGATGTGCTGTAAGTATAAGATAATCCTTTTTATTAAAAAAAAAATTAAGAAAATCTAATATCTATTGACTATATGTTGAAACAATGACATTTTGGATATATTGGGCTGAACAGAATACCTCATCAAAATTAAATTCACTTGTTTTAAACACTGTAATGTGACTCCGACAACATTTTAAATTGTGTATGTCTTATATTCCTATCGGACCAGGGTGCTGCCTTAGACATGTCTACCTCGGGACATTGGCAGGAAAGTCAAGCCAAAGAGACAACAGGTTTCCATCAGGGGCTCAGAGCACACGTTATCCTATCAATGAATCAGCAGGAAGTTCTCCTAATATCACACCTGAGTCACTCCTGCTGCAGGTCACTCTTTCCTCCAACCCAGCGGGAGATAAAGGTCAGGTCTATGGTTCAATCACCTGTACTCATAGCTCATTTCCTTTCGGGTCCTGAGGACACCTTTCCCTCCCAAACCACATTCTTTCTCATAGGCTGGTTTAGAAAGAACAGGAACTGAGTCAGGCCCACGAAACTCAGAATCCTCAGCTATCACTTAAAAAGTGTGTGGAGCTGGGCAAGCTACGTTGCCTCATTTCACGTGTGGTCCACAGGACGATCCTAAAGACTGCACGGAGCAGGGCTGCCTTTGGCTTGGACAAGATGAGCCTCAGGGCCCAGCTGGCCTCACAGGGCAAAGGCCCCTGCCTCCCTCAACGATTCTCTCTTATTCCCTCATATCCCTCAAGGCGTCTTCTCCAAGTTGACAACTCAGGAGGGACCAAAGCTCCCTCAAAAACAAATTAATGGAGGAGTTCCCTGGTGGTCCACTGGTTAATAACCCATGCTTCCAATGCAGAAAGTGTGGGTTTGATCCCTGGTCAGGGAAACAAGACCCCACATGCCTCACAATGTGGCTGAAACAAAACAAAATGGGAGGGAATTTAATGGTGACCCTAACTGGCTCAGTCAATCCTAAAGGAAATCAATCCCGAATAGTCATTGGAAGGACCGATGCTGAAGCTCCGATACTTTGGCCACCTGATGTGAAGAGCCAACTCATTGGAAAAGACCCTGATGCTGGAAATGATTGAGGGCAGGAGCAAAAGGGGACGACAGAGGACAAGATGGTTGGATGGCATCACCGACTCAATGGACATGAGTTTGAGCAAACTCTGGGAGATAGCGAAGGACAGGGAAGCCTGGTGTGCTGCAGTCCATGGGGCAGCAAAGTCAAACTGAACAACAACTAACTGTCTGGGGCCAAAAGAGTGGATTCGAGTGTAATTAGTGTGGAGACAGGGGCTTCCCCAAGTCCGGGAGCAGGCACAGTGGCCCTGCTTCCACAGGCAAATAAGACCCACGAACCCCTCATTGAGGCAAAGCGAAATGAGGAATATGCGCTTGGGGACCCAGCAGAACAAGGAGCCATGGGGACCCCAGGCCAGTTATGAGGGGCCCTGGTGGTCTTGCTGGGGTTTGGATATGGGGTGAGAAGAGAGGTCAGTGAAAGCCTGGAGGGGAACAGGGAGGAGGTGGACCCCCAGGGCGGGAGACGCCGGGAGAGGCAGAGGCTTCCACAAGGCACCGTGGCCTACGCTCTGGCTACCCGCCACGCTCAGGTGCCCCTCCCTCCAACTCCTCACGGCCTTTGAAGAATCAGTTCCACCAGGCCCAGGTGGGCAGGAACCCTGCCCCTGCCCCTGGCGGGCGGAGGGTTTAGGCACAGCTCCAGGACCCCAGAGCATGGCAGGTATCAGACCTCCCTTAAAGGAAGCAGCTCCCGGGTACAGGAGGGGCTCAGCCCCGGGGGTGGGGGGCCCCTGTGTGGACTTCCAAGGCACAGAGCAGCCCCCACCAGCCCTCCTCCCAGGACGCAGGCCCAGCCCTCCTGGCCGCCTCCGGCTCCAGTTCGAAGCAGAGGCTGACCTCCTCGACCTCCTGGGCCCAGCGTCCAGCCTACCTGGCACCGCCCCCGCCCTGCCACCTGGCTCAGGTGACCTCTGTGGAGAGAAGGGAGAACAATGAGCCCTTTTGACAGGGAGTTGGGAAAGAAGAGATTTGTAGGAGCCGCCAAACTGCAACATTAGCCTGTTGTGGAGAGAGAGAAGGCCTGTCTGCCTCACTCAGGCTCCCCGGTAAGGAGAGAGCACAGGGGGCCCTTCCTCCTGCCCCTAGAAAGGGGGGACCCCCTCCAAGACCGAGGGCTGAGGAGCCCCTAGCATTTGCTGGCGGCGGGGGAAGGCTGCCCAGGGGCGCCCGGGGGTGTGCTGGGGGGCGAAGTGGGGGACAGGGAGGCACTGACCCAGACTGGGTGTGGTCAGCCCAGATTCCTGGCGCTGGCAGCAACCTGGCCTCCCTGGGAGGCTGTCACCTGACACCAGGGGCCCAGCCATGCAAAAGCCAGGACCAGACCGCCTGGCCCTGGACAGGGGCAGCTGGTCAGGAACACGCTGTTTGTTCAGGGCCTGGGGTGGGGGAGGGTGGTCCCAGGCAGGAAGGGCGCCCTTATCAGCCGGCTGGCAGGTCTCACCAGGGAGGCCGGCCGGGCCTCGAGGGATTTTTCAAGGAAGAGATTTTACTTAACGTGAGCTACGTGCCCTCTGGGTCCCTTCCTCCCTCCTGTGGGTCCTGCAGTCCCTACGTGTGGTCCCCGGCAGCCCTGCTGGCATGGCCAGCTGACTCCTCTGTCCTCCCGACCGGCCCGAGGACCCAGCAGCTGGCACGGGTGAGAGTCAGGGCCAGCACCCTGAGGCCTTGGCTGTGGGCAGATGGAACTGGGTGCTGGGTTCCGAGTCAGTGCCCCTCCAGGTGCTCAGGCCATGCAAGCTTGGAGGCCTCAGTTTCACCTGCAGGAGCGGGAACACTACCATCTGAGCCGTCAGGAGGAGGCAAAGACGAGGCTGACTCTGTAGGGCACCGGACGTGTGTGGGTGCCATTCAAAGCAATTTAACTCACTCAGCATACCACCCGGGGTGGAGGGGTTACTATAATACCCACTTTACAGATGAGTAAACTGAGGAGCAGAGAGAGTAACGTTTCTGCAGTCACTCGGGGAGCTGGCATCTAGACCCAGACCACCTGGCTCCAGAGTCCTGGCCCAAACTTTGCTCCACCTGGCCCCTTCACTGCCTGGCCTAGAGCCCCCAGTAAACCGGAGCTGCCCTTCAGACAATCAGCCCCCAGCAGGGGCTTCCGAGCATCTGTCCACAGACAGAGCTCCTTCCCAAAGACACAGGACATGCTGCTCTCTCTGAGGCACCTCCCTCAGTGAGTGTCAAAGAGTTTCGCCAGAAGGTGCTAGAGGGAGAGACCCAGCGCTGGCTTAGAAGTGGGCATCTGCAAGCCGCTTGGGACTGGCCGATGATGGTGCCAAGTCCCACTTCCCAGCTCGGTGCCCTGCAGACCAGCCCTTCCAGGGCGGACACTGCCTGCTTCCCCAGATGTGAGGCTCTGAGCTCCAGTTCTGTGCCTCCCACTGTCTGCTGGGACCTGGCCACACACCTCTGCTGGAGGGTGCCAAGACCCTCCAAATTCAACCTCGAGCCAGATAACATTCACAGTGCTGTGCTAATACTGGAACCACTGGCCACTTAAGCCCCTTGACTTACAGACTAACTCTTTTAATCCGCACACCCACACTGCGGGATAGTTTATACCAGCCTCTCCATTTACAGATGAGGAACTTGTCCAAGGGGGCGACAGAGGATGAGGTGGTGGGATGGCATCACCAACTCGATGGACAGGAGTTTGAGCAAACCCTGGGAGATGGTGAAGGACAGGGAAGCCTGGCGTGCTGCAGTCCACAGACACGACTGAGCGACTGAACAAGAACTTGTCCATGGTCACCTGGCTGGCGAACCAGGCAGTAGGGTACCTGACTGACACCACGTCTGAAGACGTTTTTGGTTGTCACATCTTAGGGAGGCAGGGCTGGGCATGCTGCTGCTCCTGAAGGCCCCAAATGTCAACAGTGCCAAGCCTAGCACCCCACCGCACTGCTGGGCCCCACCCAGTCAATGCAACATCTCCTAAGGGCTCTGAGCTTACCTGCTTCGGAGTGAAAGGCTGAAAAAAGTCCCAGAAGCACCTTAACTAAGTAATAAATGAGATCGCTCACATCCCTGCTCAAAACCCACCAGGCTCTGGTGTAGCAGACCCAGACTCCGAGGTTCCAGCCTCCCTGGACCTCATGGCTGGGGGCGGGGCTTGGGCTCCCCAATCACCCAGGATCCGCCTCACCCTCCAATCCTGACCCTTCAGGCTCCACCATTCACCCAGAGCCTAGATGAGTCTAAGGCCCTCCCCTTCCACAAAGATCTCCCAAGACTTCCCCTCTTCAGACCATCAGCCCTCTTCCTTCCACCAGATTATAAACATCCTGGAGGGCAAAGGTCTTATCTGAGATTCTCAAAGCCCCAACCCTGGGTTATGTATACAGTAGGTACTCAAAGCATGTTTCTCAGAAGAGAATGGAAGGAAGAAAGAATTCCAGGAGCCTCCCCTCCCTCTCCCCAGCCAGGCCTGGGGGTGGGGCAGCCGAATTTGGGGGCATGGTGGGGGGGTGATTCCTCTACCCAGGCCCCACCCCAGCTCCACCCTGTTGCTCCACAGTTGGAACTTGGGGCGGGGGTTCATCCCTCTTCGCTGAGCCTGTCTATCCGGTTTGCGCTGGAATCGGCCACCTTTTCGGGGTGTAAGATCCCAGCGTCATCAGGGGCAATGGACGGCAACAGCAGCCACACCCAGGCCCTGTGGTGGGTGCTGAGGTTCTGAGACCCACACTCAACACCCATGAGCTGCTCCCTTGGGAATGAGAATGGCAGCTCCCCCCATTCATAACACCTGCGTGTGCACACACCCATCCCAAGGCCTAAAAGCCCCGCCCACGGCTTCCTTACCCCAGTGGGAAAAGGTGTTCCTTTAGGGAAGCCCTGATCCCAGAGGTGGGTAGCCTCAGAGCCACAGGTCAAGAAAATTAGAGGAAAATGGCAGAGCACACTGGGACCCTGACCAGCCTTGAACATGCCCCTGGGAGCTCCCTCTCCCTGGGAGGCATGCAGCCCCAGGAAACAGCAGCTGGCACTCCCGGGCCACTGTGCCCAGCCCTTAAATAATCTAATTGCACGTGGTCCACATGATGGGCCTACGCAGTGCGTGATAGGCAGAGGTTCCCCCCCGCTTCTAAGAGGCTAAGCTGGATTGGAAGCCCACCCGTCAGCAAGGCCTGGAGGGACCCTGGGCGCCCCTCCAAGGGGAGAAGCACCTTGCTGCTCCCCTTCCTGCCGTCCACCTTCCGGAGGGGAGGCCGGGGCCTACATCAAAGCAGAAATGAGAGGGGCTAATTATCCCAGATTGGCTTCAGATTGCTAGGTGGCCTCGGAGCTAATAAACCACGCTGTGCTCCTTCCCCTTAACAGTCCGGCTCTGGCCTTCCCAGGCCCAGCCTCAGAGGAAGCCCTGTGATCTTGGGAAGAGGACACTCACTTTGGGAGGTTGGGGGGCTGGGGGGCTTAGGAGCAGGTGTGGGGTGGGGGCAGTCAAATGCCAACCCTGCACCTTCTCACAGGCGCCTCTCCCCACTTGCCCAAGGCCTAGATCCTGCCAGAAGGAACCACGCATCCCGACTGCAGGGAACGCCGTGTTTTCCTTTGAGGATGATCTGAGGAGGAAGGGGACGGCTGTGGCCTGTGGCCCCAGGGTTCCGAGGAAGCTGGCATCACGGGAACAGGACTGCACTCTGCAGGACTCACCAACCATCCTCCTTGGCCCTAAGCTTCCCCCACAACCCCAGGGGAGATAGATGGGGCGCATGGTCTTATCCCCACATTACAGGTGGGGAAACAAGCTGGGAGAGATGGAGGAACTTAACGAGGTCAGAGAGAGAGGAGGGGCAAGGAGAGCCCACTGCTGGGCATCCTGTTCTCCCTGCCCAGGAAAGCTGCCATCGAGACCCCATTTCCAAAACCTAGGTCCCAGGGGGCACAGTGGGTGGCGCCAAGTAAGCACGGTAGTCCAGGTAAAGGTGACCCCAGTGCCAGCTCCTGCCTGGGGGGAGGGTGATACCTTTAGTTTGTTTGTTTAGCTGCATTGCACTTATTTCCCCAACCAGGGATCGAACCTGCACCCTCGGCAGTGAGAGCACAGAGTCCTAACCACTGGACTGCTGGGGAGGTTCCCGGGAGAGGGATACCTTCACGCTGTTATCCACACGCGGCTGCCCGCCCCCCCACTCCCCTTACCTTGTTAAACTGGAAGAGGTCCCTCTTGAGCCTCTCCCTCGCAGGGTCGTGTCCAGGCCTCAGGAACCTCCTCATCTTGTTGTGTGCGGCCCCCTGGGGAAAGCGGGGAGTGGCTGAGCACCTGGCAAGGGAGGCCCCAGAGCCGGGCCCAGCGCCGAGTGTGTGCAGCCTCCCTCCCCGAGCCTGCAGGTGGCCGAGCCCTGGGCCGGCCCTGCTTCACTTCACCCTCCGCGCTTCCCCTTCCCAGAGCCCTGTCGCTAGAGTGCGCTTCCCTAACAGGAAACCGGAGGGAGGGAGCCCTGTACCTGTAGGCCCTCAGTTAATGCCCTGACGCTTGCTCCCGGCCACCTGTGGCCCTTGTAAAGCCAACGGGAGAAGCTGGGGGAGGAAGCCATTTAGCCCGGCTTTATAGGAACAAGAAGGGCCAGAGGCCCTGAGGTCAATTAAGCTTAATTGTTAACCTGTTTTCTGGAGAACCATAAAACTGGCTACACAGAAAGGGAAACTTCACAAGCCTCTGTCTCCAGAACTGGGGGGAAGTGGGAATGCAAAGGCGGTCCACCTGTGCTCACAGATCAGAACCCAGATGGGGGAGGGGGAAGGCCCAGGGGAACTCCTGCAGGGGTCCAGCACCCCTGCGCAGACTCTTCCTTCCGACTTCAGGGAAGGCTGTCCGGGGGCTCTGGGCTGAGGCTGCTCCCACCATCCCCCCCCCCACACCGGTACCCACGTGGGAGCTGGGTCCACCCCCATGGATGCTGGGGCCTCCGCAGCCCCAGGCTTCCGCCCCACCTCCCTGTCTCATCTCTGGCTCTCCCAGGTCCAGCGCCCCTGGGCTCTGAGGGGGTGCGCTGGTTTTCCCATGGACCCAAGTGGAGGCTCATCAGGAGAAGAAACCTGCTCCCAATAAAGAAACCAGCTCAAGGCCCCCAAACTACCCGCCCACCACAGAACACATTCCCCAGTCCAAGGGGAACTATTTCTGGCTCATCCTTGGGGAAGAGGGTGGGATCACATGGGCTCCAGCTTCCGGCTTCCAAGAGCACAACCTCCCACTGACCACAGGACGCCAGGGCCTGTCCTTGGAAACACAGGGGCTCAGGCCCACCCCGGAAACGGCTTCCCATTTGAGGGGAGCCAGAGAAGGCCCCACTCCTCCAAGGACCAGCAGACAGCCGGGAAACTCCCAGGTGCCTGCTTGACCCGAGGCCCTGCAGCAGGTTTGGGGAACAAACATGGGAAAGTCCCGCAGGCTCCTGGGAGTGAGGACAGACTGCGCGCCCGGCTGCAGCGACCTCCTGGACAAACAGCTGAGCTGGTGGCCAGGCATTCCAGCCATGGGGGAGGGTGCACCAGCTCATCAGCCGGCTCCTGGGGGTGCCACTCCCCCTCCCCGGCTCTGGTCACTGGGTCAGAAGTCAGAGGAAGCCAGGAGGGTTGCCCTGGAGGAGGAGAGGGGCCCGCAGACTCCAGGGCAAAGCTGCCCTGGACTCTGCCCGGGAGACCCTCATAGCACCTGGGGTCAAGCGGGCACAGGGCCGTCTGTACTGAGGACCCACACGGGCCCAAGGGTAACACTGCACAGTCCTGGGGAAGATGTGCAGATGGGGGTGGGGGGCACCCCCAACGTGGGGAGGGAGGACGGATGCTCCATCCACCCAGCTACCCCTCGGGGGCCCTGCTGCCTACCAGGCACTGAAACACACCTTTGTGAGTTACAGCAAGGTGCACCTGAACCTCATCCTGGGTGTTCATTCACCTTCCAGAAGCCTCCTTGGAAGGTAAGTGGAATATCCCCACTTGGCAGACAAGGAAATGAAGACCACAGAGGCTGGGCAACTCGTCAGATCACTGAGAAGGGACGGACAGAATGCAGATTGCCCCCAGGAGTGGCGGATTCCCAACTCTTGGGGCTCTGGGAGGCAGCCAAGGAGGCATACAACAGGACAGAGGATGCCTGGTTATAGCCCCGGGTTCAAAGGCACAGATGCACGTAGACACACTCCCACATGCCTTCAACTCGGGGTCAAGTAAGCAGAGGCGTGGCCGCCGGCAAACTGTGGCTAGGCAGAGCTGGGTGGCCTTGCCTGCCCCTGCCACTCACTCCACTGCGGGCTGGGACACCAGCGGCCTGGGGGGACAGAGTCGGGACCATGGTGGGGTAGACACTGCATCTGCTCCTCACTCCAACCCACCCTTCAGAGTAGCTCCCAATACAGAAACGCTGCCCAAGATGGGGCCTAAAAAGAGCCATCCTGTCTCGAAGGAGGACAGGTCTGAGATGGGCTGGACTCAGCTCCAGGCAAAGCCTCGGCTCCACTCACCCCAGACTAGCAGGTTCTCTGCGGAGAAACTTCAGGAACCTGGGCCTGCCTGGAGCTTCTGGGGGTGGAACAGATGCTATCGACTCAACCCAGTGCTAAGCAGGGGAAAAAGACGTCAGGGAAAAAGCCCAGGATCGAGCACCGCAGCAGGGCGGCCCTCAGGGCAGTTCCTGGAGGCCCAGGGAGCTGGTCTGCTGTGAGCAGTGGGCGCAGCGCCTAACTCCAGGGCCTGGCACGGAGCAAACCCCGTCCTCGGACTACGCGTACAAGATCCTCTGACAGCCAGACGAGCTCCTCTAGTTCGCCAAGCTTACACCCTGGCAGGGGGGTGTGGTGACTCACAGGTACACGAAATCAGTTGGCAGGCTGGTTTCAGGTAGAGATCAGAGCCTCCAGGAAAACGGGAAGACGCTTTGACAGAGGGACCAGGGTGGTCAGAAAGACCCGGTCTCTGCATCTATCGTTCCTTCTGCCTGGGACACTTTTCCTCCAGATGCTCTCACACCTCCCACCCTCACCTCTTCCCCCGTGGAGCTCACTGAATGAATGAATGGAGGTGACAATACCTCCACTCCATCCTGGATGGCGGGAAGCAGTCAGCCTTGGGAGGATTCGGGGCAGGGCGTGTCCGGCGGCCAGAACATGCTCGCCGTGCGCCTGGAGGGGGGCCGGGCGCAGGCAACAGGAGGGACGCCGTAGGTTGGAAGGGGGTCCTGGTGGGCCACAGCGAAGAGTTTTGGTTTGTCCCCACTGGGGACCCCCTGACAGTCCTGGGCAGGGGGCTGATGGGGTCCACCCTCTCCTCCCCCACTGTGTCCCCCTCTGCTTGGCCCTTGACCATCTGCTAGGCCCCCCGCATGAGTCCCATTCACTTTGGTTTCCATGCTTTTGTCTTCACGATTCTCTCTGAAATAACCTTCTTGCCCCTCTGGCAGCATATTAAAAAATCATCTGCCGTATGGCACAGGGAACTCTGTTCAATGCTATGGGGCAGCCTGGATGGGAGGGGGATTTGGGGGATAATGGATATATGTATCACCACCAAGTCCCTTTGCTATTCACCTGAAACTATCACAACATTGTTAATTAGCTATACCCCCATATAAAATAAAAAATTTTTTTTTCCATCACCTTCCGAAAGCATCTGAACCTACCCTGACCATGCTCACCATGCTCCCTCAGCGCTGGACTGCACCTTAGGCTAAAATGATGTCTAAAACCACCGTGGACGCGGGCACCCATTGAGCTTCATGGATGCCCTCCCCCACCTTGTCATGCTGATCATTAAGCCACTAGGAAAAGTCAGAGGCCACCTAAGCGGCCAACAGCAGGGGACAGGTGAAGGGCGCTCAGCCCCACCACGGGAGGCAGACGGTCACGAAAAGGGCAGGAGATGATGGCTGTGGAAACATATGTCCAGTGCATCAGGGAGTCGGGAAGAATCTATTAAAAATATTTACATAAGTTGACAACACACTGGAGGGGTTATGGGATTACCAGTGATGTTTTTCCTCCTTTCTGATTATCTGCCTCCCAGGAAGGGAGATAAGAAGATCACACGGAGCGGGGGGGCCCAGGCAGCAGCCAGGTGTGAGGACAATCCTGCGCTCACAGTAGGCCCTCAGTCCTGTTGGGGGACGATCGCTCCTGCCGCACCCCCCGCCTCCGCCACTATGGACCCTGGATTGAGAGCAGCGGCAGGGAGCAGACAGGTGGGTGGAACCAGCTGTGTGACCTCAGCCTTCAGGGGCCCAGGCCTGGGCTGTCACTACTTCGCGGGCCGTGATCAAGGAGCGGGGGGGCCCAGGCAGCAGCCAGGTGTGAGGACAATCCTGCGCTCACAGTAGGCCCTCAGTCCTGTTGGGGGATGATCGCTCCTGCCGCACCCCCCGCCTCCGCCACTATGGACCCTGGATTGAGAGCAGCGGCAGGGAGCAGACAGGTGGGTGGAACCAGCTGTGTGACCTCAGCCTTCAGGGGCCCAGGCCTGGGCTGTCACTACTTCGCGGGCCGTGATCAAGGGTGGGGGCGGCCGTGAGCTTCAACAGGAAGGCCTGGGAGGGGACTGGCGAGCTCTCAGGTGCTACACACATCAATGCCACTTCTACCACAAGGGAGGTGGGAGAGGAGGTCGGGGCCCCTCCAAGCTAAGGAGCCCCCCGCCATGTCTGATGCCAAGAAGAAAGTCACTCAGTCGTGTCCGACTCTTTGCAACCCATGGACTGTAGCCTGTCAGGCTCCTCTGTCCATGGAACTCTCCAGGGAAGAATACTCGGGAGTAGGTTGCCTTGCCCTTCTCCAGGGGATCTTCCCGACCCAGGGATCGAACCCAGGTCTCCTGCCTTGCAGGCAGATTCTTTACCAACTCACTGGGGATGGAGGAGCTCTGAGGGTCCTGGTTTCCTGTGCTGGGGAATCCACTTGGCTAGAGCATGACCCCTGGTGGGGGGTCGGGGGCGGCTTCCTGAGAAGAAACACCTTCTCCATCCCCTGAACTTTCTGTAGACTGCCCAACAGAACTTTCTGAAGGCTCCCAAGAGGAGCCTGGTGGGCTACAGCCCATGGGCTGCAAAGAGTCGGACACGACTGAGTGACTTTCTTCTTGGCATCAGACGTGGTGGGGGCTCCTTAGCTTGGAGGGGCCTCAACTTCTTCTCCCACATCCCTCGTGGTAGAAGCAGCACTGATGTGTACGGCACTCGGCCTCTGATTCTGCCCACCACACCCTCTGTCTGTCACCAGACCTACCTGTGGGCCACCCTCCCTGCTCCGCCCAGCTCTCTGGTCCCTCGGGGGTGGGTGCTTAGGGCTTAGGGTCTGCCGGCCACGAGGTTTGCCAACCTGGGGCTCATTTGTACTTGCTCTGCCCCGCAGGTCTGTGCCTTGTGCGTGCAGCTGGCCTGAAAGGTCCCCGCGGGCCGCTGGCCTGGCAATCCCCTCCCTTTCACTACTCCAATCGTCCAACACTACTTCTGGCTAAAATTGGTCTCCCCTCACCCTGATGCCCACCCTGGGGAAAAAAAAAAAACAGGAGAGCTGCCTACTTGGCCAGACTGTTGTTTAGTCGCTAAGTGGTGCCTCTTTTGCGACCCCAGGGACCGTGGCCCGCCAGGCTCCTCTGTCCATGGAATTCTCCAGGCAAGAATA